AAAGCTATCTGCAGCCTCTGCAGCAAGAGTTCGATCCCCAAGCAGGGAGCTACTCACATGGTGCCGGCAGACCTCTCCTGTCTCACCCGCTGCTCTCCTCAGCAGTGTACTTCAGTCGATCTGCCTGTTCTGTTCTCCACTCTGTCTCTGGTGAATCCTCTCACACCCCCACACCTCTGGCCTGTACCCCATTTCTTGTATGTATAAATAAATCAATCTTTTAAAAAAAGTTATTTTACTTTTAAAGTATAAGTAACAAAATAAAGTCAACATCTGGTCAATGAAAAAAATTCTGCATGAGGTTTCATTAGTTCTACATGGAGAAAAACATACCTCTGATTATTATTTACAATAATAGGTGAAAAAGTTCAGGAAAATACTTGTGCACTTAGAAGGATACAAAAAATTAAGAACTGAGGGTGATGGGGAAAAAACAGTATTAGAAGGAGATTTGTATTTAAAAAAACTATAAGTTAAATAAAAACATAACAGGTTTAAAATCCAAATTGTAAGCAGATGGAATCGACAAATATTGTAGAAAATCAAATCAGTGATGGAAAGGCCTAATTTAAGAAGCTATGCAAAATAAAGGGGAAAAATAAAAAGACATCTTTTAAAAAGGACATGTGAGGTAATTATGAGAATTAGAGAAGTCAACCCATGAAAAATTCCCAGAGAAAAAAACAAGAACAAAAAACACCAACTTAAAATACTTTCCTCAACTGAAAAATGATTTCAATATGTAGATTGAGGACCTGTCATATTTCAGATGAAATTGATTTAAAAAAATCAGTAGTTCTGGGCCGCCCCTGGTGGCTCAGCGGTTGAGCGCTGGGCTGAGAAGCTGCCCACAGCCTCTGCAGCATGGGTTCGATCCCCGGCTGCCTGTGAGGGTCCCACATGGCGCACAGACCTCTTCTGCCCGCCCATTGCTCCCCTCAGCAGTGTATTTCGTCAAGTCTGCCTGTTCTGTTGCCCGCTCTGGTGAATTCTCTCAACCTCCCGCGCTTCTGACTACCCAGTGCTTGTATAAATAAATAAATAAATCTTTAAAAAATCAGTAGTTCTAATTCCAAAACTTCAAAATCGTCTATTAAATCTTTATAATGCAACATATGGCTATATTTGCTACATATGGAAAGATGTAAGACAAGACCACCGATAGAGGTTATATCCACAGTGAAGGTGGTGTAAATTTGGTACATACTGTGCATTGTGGTTATTTTTATATGAATTTGGGCAACAAATTGCTGGGGGCAGAAACAAGTATATAAACCTCTGTCTTCAGTTAAAAAAAAATCACACCTTTTTTATACATTTACTACATTTTTAAGACATGTTGCCCTACTTAAGGCATATTATTTACTTTCAAAGAAGTATATCATTTTATAATAGACAAGTGCAGTTCTATTTTCACTTATGAGTTAATTCTAATAACAGAAATGATACACACCAGCAATGTTAGTTCCTAAAACTACTGAGATAGCATTCTTCAAAAATAAATCCAGACTTTTGTCTGTTTTAAAATGCAATTTGAAGTACTTCTAACTTGATTTTTTTTTATTTTAACTTAATTTTTTAACCTAAGAATAAAGGTAAGTGCAAAGGAATGCATTCTACCAAAGCACTTTTATGAGTCCCAAAATATATTATGTAAAAAGAACAAACTTCTTTGTCTACTAGCTTTGAAAGTTAATAATATACTATGTTATCAGTAGGCGGAAGAAGATAGTTATTTTATTTCCACCAGTCACTGATGAAATAATCCAAGCTTAGTTGCTAAGTAACTACAGCCAGAAATAAAATTATTTACCATGGAAATAACTAAATGTACTTTCAAATAATTTATATATGAAAAATAGCTAACCTCCTCTAAAGAGTTGTCTATATTTGCAGACTCCAATTCCTCTCCCGTTATCTTTATTTTTCTTTAAAGATTTATTTATTTATGCATACAAGAGTTGGGGTACAGGCCAGAGATGGGGGGGGGTGAGAGGATTCACCAGAGACAGAGTGGGGAACAGAACAGGCAGACTGACTGAAACACACTGCTGATGGGAGCAGCAGGTGAGACAGGAGAGGTCTGCCGCGCCATGTGGGTTGCTCCCTGGCTGCCCGGGGATCGAACTTGTGCTGCAAAGGCAGCAGACTGCTTCATAGTGCAGTGCTTAACCCATTGCGCCACCAGGGAGGCCCCCGTTCTCTTTAAGTTGTACAATCATGTTTTTTCCCCCACTATCTTCCTAAAAGTGCTCTTGCATGGTCACCAATGACCTTCATGATGCTAAATCCTATGGTCATTTTCACACTTTCCATCTTGACTTGTCAAATCAGCAGGAGACACAATTGATCACCTTCTCTTTCAAGAAACACTCTGGTCACTTGGATTCCAGTATTTCAGATTTCTACCTTCAAAGCCTTCTCCTCAACCTCCTTTAACGTCCTTTAATATCTCCAATCTCTAAACAGGGAAAGCCCTAGAGCTAATTCTCATTTCTTTAGACCAGCTCTCATGCAATCTTGTGGCTTTAAATACTACTTGTTAAGGACTCCCAAATTTCTATTTTGAGTCAGGTCTTAGAATCTCTCACTTGAACATGAACCTCAAACCTGATATATCTTACATGGAAATCTTGATTCCTGCTCCACCCAACTCCCCTTATCTCTTACCCTCTTCTTCCCCATTTCAGTAAACAGCAACTCCATTCTTTTAAAGACTCTGGATTCATGCTTCACTCTTTTACTCTCACACTTCACATCAATCCATCAGCAAATCCTGTCAACTATACCTAGAATACGACCTCTTACTACTCTTACTTACCTAGTCAAAATCCCCATCATCTCTCACTTGCTGAACCAACCTCCCAATTGGTCTTCCTGCTACAATTTATTCTGAACCAACAGGCCAGAGCGATCCTTTAAAAACCTTAAGCCAGATCCCTTCATTCCTCTGTTCAAAACCCTCCAGCCACTTCCCTCCTTACTCAGAAAAAGCCTACATCTTTACCAGGACCAGTTTGCTCTCTCTTACTTACTGCCCAAACCCCTGGTCTCCTGCTGCTCCTCTACAACTGGCACTTGCACCTGTTGGTAGACTATTCCCCTAGATAGCTGCATGATCTGCCTCACATGGGGAGTCTTCTGTATGAAACTGTTCCTTATTTTAAAACTACACCTGTTCCTTTTGTCACTGAAGCATTTTTCTTCTTGCAACTATGACCATTCTACTGGATATATTTTACTTTTATCTTTAAAAATTACTTTATTTATTATGATCACCCCAGTCCTCCTCCAGTGGAAGGTGAGCTCCATGAGGACAAGAGATCTGTTTTGTTCATTCTTGTATCCTGACTTAGAACAGTGCCTGACCATGGAAGGTACTCAATATACATTTGCTACATGAATGCGGAATATGTAAACTTTTATTAAAGTCCTGATAAGGTTAAGAAATTTGGAACACTATAATATCCAGCCTCTTTCCACATGGGAAATATGAGTTCCTTCCGACACTGACAGGAATTGTGAAAAGTCTCTGTCTTCCATAGTAAGTAACTCAATCTGCTGTAAGCAACATGTCAAAAGACCCTTCATTCCTCTTTACTTCCATTTCTCTCTAATGCCTTTCCTGTAAAGTACTAACTTACTGTCATAAAAATCATATTCCCTCCAACATGATGACCATAATGCAAAGGCAAAGACAGCTCACTAGAAATCATAAACACAAACATTAAAGAAAAATACTGCATCTCATTAACAACCACATAAACTCATCTCTAGGTCAAATTAAAAAAATGCGCTGGAGTGGTGAGGGACCTACAAGTTTAACTTTATTATTACTCGAATCCTTAATGAGCAAATATTTTTCTCATTAATTAAACTTTTAATTAAAAAGGAGTTGGTACAGGTCTCTCTAATACAGGCATGAAAATTAAGCCTGGGAGATATCAGTGCAGGGTACAAATCAAATTAATAAAGAAAAAAAAATCCTGTAGAACATGTTTGGGTGGTAACAATCAGCGATACGGGAGAAACGGAGATGAAGCCCAAATTCAGCTCATCCTCTGCTAGCTGTCTGCCCCTGGCCAAGTCAACACAGAATTTCTGTGCCTCTGTTTCCTTATCTACACAATGGAATGAGCACCTTAAAGGGCTGCTGCCAGGGATTAAATTAGGGTTACTAGGTATTCGAAGACTCAGCACAACGTGTGTGTCCTATAATAAGCACTGAAAACATTTATAATTCGTACACACTGACAGTACAGCTCTTGAAGCTAGGAGCTCTCTGAGACCACTGCCATTTTTTAAAGAACGAAAAATATTACTATTCATAGGTATATTTTTTGCCTCGTTATATTCTGAACAGTGGGAGAACCAATTTTAAAGAATAAATGTCTTTTTCTTGCTGCAGAGCTCTGTGATGGAAAATCGGGACAGTCAACAATCTGCTTCTTGGCATTGCACGTTAACGAAGAGGCAGCTGCAGTGTCTGAACCACACACCCCGGGGCCATGTGCCATCCTGGACAGCTCAGGCCGAGCTGCGGGCTCCCCGCCTCTCCACGCACGACCCGCGCCGAGGACCAAGCCGAGGCCCCGCCCCGCCGCGGACACACGCGGGCCTGGCTCCCGCTTCCCCACTATCCACGAGCGCGCCCCGCCCCGCGCCCGGCCGCTTCCCCACTAACCGCGAGCGCGCCCCGCCCCGCGCCCGGCCGCGGCCGCCGGCAAATCCGGGCTGGCCAGCGCAGCCTTGATCCGCAGAGCAAACACGAAGCCTCGCGGGCCCCTGGCTCGCCGTCACCAGCAACACAGCCCGCGAGGAAGCCACCGCGGCCCCCGGCGACCCGTCTGGCCCCCTCCGGCCGGCAACGGTGCGCCGTGGCCCAGGCCGCCTCGCCCCTCAGGCCCCTGCGCCAGGCCCGGCTCTCCAGTGTTGCAGGGCCGGCCGGGAGGCGTCAGTGACTTCCGCCCTGCGGCGGCCGCGGGCTTGCGTCCAAGTACCTGCGACTCGGCCGGGCGACGGCGGCAGCACCTTCACCGCGACGGCGGCAGCGCGCAGGCGGCGGGCGGAGGGCAGGGGCCGGCCACAGAGACGAGCGGAGCGCAGCCGAGCCAGAGCGGCCTGACGCCACGGCGGCCGGCGCGCGCCCCCTGGAGGCCGGCTGCCTGCCTGCGGCCGGCCGGGCTCTAAAGCTCAGAGCGAGCCAGCTCTTGATTAAGGGAAACCAGTAAACCTGCAGCACGGGAGAGGACGGACAGCCCAAAGGAGGTTTCTCCGAGCTGAATCCGGGAGCATCTTGCACTTTTCATGTTCTTTTCTAAATAAACATCCAACACCCTCAGCTAAATGAAGATTTCAAAAGCAGGGCAATTTTAATCAGAGCTGAGGCATCCATTAATCATTGCTGTCCACTAGGAAAGTCTGCATGGTCCAGTGTGGATGTATCGGTTATAGCGACTTATGACTGGCTGCTCTGATTCTAACATTTGATTTTTCTTTTTTTTCAAAAACGACTTGAATATTTACATCCCACTTTTTAGGATTTCCAAACTAATTGCCCCATATTACAGCCAAAATTATTGTTATCAATGTGGGTGGTGAGAAGTTCATTGATTAGAAGCATTTTTTTTTTCTTTTTAGTTTACAGACTCGGGCCCTACAGCCTTGAAGAATTTCCCTGCACAGTGATCTCCCCTGCTCTGAATTTTAGCACTAAGTACCCAACCAGCTCTGAGTGTCTCATTTCCATCCAGCCAATGACTGTTAGCCTAACAGTTTGCTTTGGTAATGTATAAATTTTCAGATTATTGTCGAATTTGAGAAAATCTATCTCAAATTTCTTTCATATAAGAATTACAAGATTTGGGCTTCCCCGGTGGCGCTGCGGTTGAGCGCTGGGTTGCGAAGCTGCCCGCGGCCTCTGTGGCGCCGGTTCGATCCCCGGCTGCTCCCCGGCCACTGGAGGAGGGTCCCGCATGGCGCGCAGACCTCTCCTGCCGCCCACTGCTCCCCTCAGCAGTGTACTTCGGTCCTTCTGCCTGCTCTGCTCCCTGCTCTGGCACTGGTGAATTCTCTCACCCTCCCGCGCTTCTGACTGTACCCAGTGCATGTATAAATAAATAAATAAATAAATAAATAAATCTTTAAAAAAAAAAAAAAAAAAAAAAGAATTACAAGATTTCAGGACATTTACTTTCTTGGGTAGTGACTAATCAGAAATACTAGGTACTTTTCATTTTACATTGATGACACTTATTGACCAATTTGTCATGGATGTTCTTGTGGCTAAGTATTGATTTTACAATATTTTAGTGGATGCTTGTAAATTGTGTCAAATCAGCAAAGCGTTTAAACGTTTTCCCAGCATGTTCTAGGATTCACTCCTCTTCCCCAGTTGTGTTACCAAAATATCTATTCATTACTTCTATTTAAATGTATCTCTTCCTTTGATGAATTGTTATTTTGTTTGAACTGAAAAAATGTAGAGCATTTGCAGACAGCTTTTTTTTTTTTTCTCTGAGATTAAGGGAAGGCTCGTTCTGTGACTCCTCCGTGTCACCTGGGACTCCAGCACCAGAGGGTGAGGAGTGTTCAGGGAAGCCATTCCCTCACTCCAGCAGGAACAGCGCTGCATGGAAGTGATGGTGAACCAGATGAACATACCTCAGTAATTGCAAACCAGACTATCCCCAACTGAACAGTATGTGTGGCCTGGAAATGGTGATGGCAGAAGGTCATTGTGATCAAGTCCTGTCCCTATTGAATCCTGAACACTATCACAATAAATGGCACATAGTAAGTGCTTAAGAAGATTCGCTTTTAGTGGTTCTCAGCCCTGGCAGCAAATCATAATCACAACACGTGCCTAAAAATACCAAGACTCAGGTCTTAGTGGGGACCAAGTTAGAACTATTTGGACGTATGGCCCAATGATTCATATTTTTTAAAGCTGCTCAGAGAATTCTGATGTGCTGCCAGGGTTGAGACCATTGTGTTAGACACAGGAGGGAATGAATGAATGCCTAATCATATTAGTCTGATTTTCTTTTCTTTATATAAATGAAAACGTTTTTGAAAATATTGGCTATATTTCTCCCAATCACTGAAAATGCAGATAAGTCCTTCATAAAAAATATAATTGGGTACTTTTCAGAAGAGACTCAAAGTGATCTAGCAACTGTTCTAGTGTCACTAGGTGTCTCTGTGGAAAATACATGTGGACTGAATGGGGTGATGTTTAAGAAATACCAAAACTACAAAGTAAGAGGGCTTTCTTGTTTTTGAATTCAGGTTCCCCAACTGCCTCTGGTTTTTTGTACTATTGATAAATGACCATCAGAGGGCGACATGCTCCTGAAAGTGTTGCTTCCCTGGTCTCCTCTCAGACCAGGCAAGCATGAATCAGGTGTTTTCAACAACACAGGGGGGTTCCTGCTGCAAAGCCTCTGAAGGAGAAAGCCACAGAATATCAGACCAGGAGCATTTATTAATCTACACACCAGAGTTAGATACATTTTGGTTCCCCAACAGTTTCAAACATTGAAACCACCAGGAAAAAAAAAAAAAATACATGTACACTTGAATTTGCAAAACTGAAGGGCAAATTGGAAGCCTAGCAGAATAATATTTTCCTCCAGCAAACAGTACGATCAGAAATTAAACACTCAAGCAAAACTTTCAGAAATAGATCTCTTTCCCTCTGTTAATTGCAAAGTAAATGTCTTTAGGTCTCTTGGAATTTCTGCAGTTACTAAGATAACAGCTGGGACCCAGGGAAGAAGAAAAGAGCTTGGCTCATCACTGTAATACACATTTGTTGTTTTTCTTTGCACTTGCCCACACATGCCAGAACCACAGAGATTTTCACACATATTTTAGATGAAGTAATGTATGTGACAGGAACATATAGAGTGCTTAGCCCCAATTAACCCTCTCTTTTCAAATATTAAGTAACTAATCATTGGTAAGGGAATACCTATGCAAAGGCTTAAGCACATGCTTGCTTTGAAAAGCCTTTAGAGGTGACTGGTGAGATGCAGGGTTCAGTCAGGAAAGCAGAATGACTGGGTTATGGGATAATGAATTTATTACATGTGTTGCACCTCACAAATTGTGGAAGGAGTTCAAGAAGTGAAGGTTTGGGAAGGGGTGATGGAGAATGAGATATTCTGAGGGCCACACATGACTTGGGTCCCACTGAAGTGGAAGCGCTAATGGGGAGCTCATGGTGAAATGTGTGCAGGCTTCTGCTACTGCTTCTGTGAGTCTGTCCCTAAGGACCTGGTGGTGGGCCTGGGGCTCTGTTGATCTGCAGGACCAGCAGGCAACAAGAAGAGCTGGGTGTACAGTAGAAGGGGCAGGACAGACTAGAAACTACCAGGCACCTTGCATTTGCTTGTCACTGTATCCAACTGCAGAAAGTTCTTTAAAAGGTAATGCTGCTCCCTGACTCTGTCTCACAGCTCTCGTATAAGGTCTCCTCTGGGCTAAATTCTAAACTGGAACCAAATAGGAGAGGGTGACTCTGGGAAACATAGTTATATGTTGATAACCAGGTTAATAAAAGAAAAAAAATCCAGTATACTTCTGGGCTCTTACAACTATTATACAGACAAGAAGACTAGGGTTATATAGTTATGTCATTTGCTGAAATGCACATTGCTAAGTAGAGGCAAAAGAAAGCTTAGAATTCAAGTTGGAGAAGTCATCTTCCACTCCAATATCATGCCTCTCATCCTTTGTGAAACTGAAACACTCAGAAACATTTCAAGAAAATTATAGAAAAATGTCATGCTTCACTTCTGAGTTCCCTTTTTAGACTGAATCTAGGGGTAGACTTGCCATAGCATAAATCCAGCTATCTTATTCCGAAATTTCTGGGCAACTGGGTATCAGAGCCTCTTTGGTAAGAAGTTGTGGCTGAGTCGACCAGATCACATCCTGGAATAACAAGACAGGAGTTATCAGGCAGTTGAAAGTAGTATCGTACTTGAGATATAGATTACACAAGAACTTGGATTCCAAAGTGTCCAAGAGATGAGTCCCCAAAGAGCACTGCTGCACATCATCCAAAAAGTCAAAAAAAAAAAACTTGCAAAGTTCATAAGAAATAAAAATGCTCACGTTTGGTCATGCACTTTCTACTTCGAAACAAGCACTAGAAACTCTGAAAGTCAGTAGATTTATAAATTTATAAATTTTCTCAGAAGTTAGCAAGAAAAGACAAGAAGGGAGTTGAGAAAAGTCCCCAACCTAGGCAAACCTTGCCTTTTCCTCATTCTTTTTTGGCCCTAAGTTCCCTTTCTAGTCCTTTGCTATTCCTGTTCCTTACAGACAAGACAATTCAGGGATCACTAAATCTGGGCAAAGCAGAAGAAGCTAAGGAAGGGTTCGCGCTTATCCCAAAGGCCCAGGATGTCTGCTTGGTCCAGATAATGAGCAGCTTAGAAGATTCCAGTAATCAAACTAGTTTAAATGGTTTACTTTAACCCTAGAGTGGAGCTTACCTCACCCTAGGGGCTCAAATTGAACAGAAATTTCAGGCTTAGAGGAATTTTAACTCTCACATGCTAGTTTCAAACTCCTGGTGATTGTTCACATAGAAGCAAACTACTCCTTTCCAGTCTAGAAACAACTCCCTGAAGTGAACTTTATCAGAACTTGCCTCAATTCTGCTCTCTACCTCTCAAAACACTGATTGTGTGGCTTCATTTTCACCTTTACAAAAGACGTGATGCCAAAGTTAGGGTAAAGCCCCAGGCTATTCTGCTGCAGCTATTTTATACAAATACAACTGGACTAATACACCTTTTGAATTTATACTCTGACCAACAAGAAAGGAAACATTTGACAAAAGGGTGATTCAAAATACAAACTGCTCTTAGCCTGTGCCTTCGTTCTAAGGTGAACAGAATGAGGGGGGAAAAAAATTTCTATTTTTTTTAAACCTGAAAAGAAGGCATGTCCATCTTCTGAGTTCATAAGATACATTACAAACAAGTGGTTAGTTGCATTTGTGTGTGTCTTCGTTTTGTTAACTATCCAGGAATAAAAAAAATCCTTAGTAAGGTAATTTGTAATCAGGTAGTAAGGCTTGAGGATTTTTCTATAGTCTATCATTTCGACAATCTATCAGTCTATCTTCATTGTGAACCAGCTACATTTTAATTTGGAAAAATGAAAAGAGAAATGAGGAAATGAAGCAGGAAAACGGGGGAAACCATCTATGACACAATCCATAGTTAATTGCCACAGATTAATATTTACATACATCACTGATGGAAATCCAGTTCCCTGCAAGAATTTTAGGCTTAACCACTTTGAAATCTATTTGTCAATACCTAAAAATAAGCTCTAATAAACAACCCTCCCATGTTCTTCTCTGACATGGTGCTGTCCACGATCTGAGGAGTAGACCCTACTCTCCCCTCTATGCAGATGGGGTGGACCTGGACTGACACCTCTGGAAAACTTGATGCTCCACTGGCTATTGTTAAGCAAAATCTGGGAATAATCCATAGCTCCTTAACTTTTGAAAAGAGCTTTTCTCCAAGTGGTTGACTTTTGCAACATAGATGCTTAGAACTGTCATCTCTTATGTTTATCACTTTTGTTCTGCTGAAAATCAAATTCTGAACTTTTCTGAACTGGGACTCAAATGCAGATTTATATCAACTCATCCTCTGCACACAAGACCCCTTACAATGGGGAGGAGCTCCCCAGAAATTCTGCAGGGACCAGTTTCCAGCGAGAATAAAAACACCCATATGCAAGGCAAAGCCAATTCACATTCAGCAGTTTCAGCCTGCTGCTCCACATGCCTCCACCCCAAACAACTTCTGCACCACAAAACCCATCAAATACATGCTCTTGTGGACAGATGGAAAACCCATTAGGAAGCACAGCCAAGTCTGTGTTCCCACATTTCCGGGACAGAAACCACATTCAGTGCAGGAAGGGTGCAAAATCACGAGGGTCAATGCCTTTAAATCATCTGACTTTCTAACCTCTGCCAAGATGTTCCACAAGCCAAGCCCATATGAGTAGCTGAAGGCCTCCTACAGAAAGGCACATGTGCCCTGGTTAAACCAAAGACCCAAGCCAACTAATGTATCAAGTGCTTTTCTATTGCTCTAATTTCTTTTATCTAGAAAATTGTTATGCAAGCAGTATAGATTTCATAAGAACACAACAAATAGCTAGAATAAAGCAACTTATAAGTGATGTCCAATACTACCTTAATAACATAGGAGGAAAGTACAATTTCAAGGTTTAAAAAACATTTTACAGGGATTATTGGTTAGCCATACTTTTTCTTGGTTTTTTTTTTTTTTTTAAAGATCTATTTGTTTTTGCATACAAGAACTAGGGTATAGGCCAGAGGTGTGGAGGGTGAGAGGATTCACCAGAGACAGAGTGGGGAACAGAAAAGGCAGACTGACTGAAATACACTGCTGAGGGGAGCAGCGGACGAGTCAGGAGAGGTCTGCTGCGCCATGTGGGTTGCTCCCTGGCCAGATCAAACTCGTGCTGCAATGGCTGCGGATAGCTTCATAGGTTGTGTCTTAACCCCTTGCGCTACCAGGGAGGCCCTGGTTAGCCATACTTTTTCTTTTTTTTTTTTTTTTTTTTTTAAAGATTTATTTATTTATTTATACAAGCACTGTGTACAGTCAGAAGCGCGGGAGGGTGAGAGAATTCACCAGAGCCAGAGCAGGGAGCAGAGCAGGCAGAAGGACCGAAGCACACTGCTGAGGGAAGCAGCAGGCGGCAGAGGAAGTCTGGGCGCCATGTGGGACCCTCCTCCAGTGGCCGGAGTGCAGCCGGGGATCGAACCGGCGCTGCAGAGGCTGTGGGCAGCTTTGCAACCTAGCGCTCAATCGCTGCGCCACCGGGGAGGCCCTAGCCATACTTTTTCTAAGTTGACTCATTACATCTTCTTTTTGGGTGACAAGAATCAGCAAAATGTACCTAAATTTTCTTGACTTTTTCTTCTGGGATCACTGCTGACAGGAATGATACTATCTTAATGAAGGAGGAAAGTATTTTCTACTCTATTTCCTACAGTCCTGAGTCCACAGAGACACGTTTAGCCAGCCTGGTGGCTGAAAAGCATGCGAGGAAGTTGAGTTGCCTCGATGGCCAGGTCTTCTGCATTCTAGGATCACTGTGGCCACTATTTTCCCACAAAGGCTTGGGACCTATTTGATCATGTTGCTCAGATTCATTTTGAGTGTTAATGTAAGGTCATTTCTAACTCACATGTTATCATCAAGTTTGCTTCCCAGTTGTCCATGGGGAAATGTGCATGCTGTAAGTTTGGTTGTAAGTAAAAACCAAGACTGAGACTTGGGGCCTAACCACAATTTAATTGATGCTTCCCCTTTTTCTCAATATTATTCTTGTGAAAATTTGAAACTCAAATGTGTTTGCCTATGGGCAGCATGCTTATGCCAGTTATTTTAGGAGTATGAACAGCAGTTAAAGCACATAACACATGTCTAAAGTGGAGAGAAGTGAAGTTGCTGAATGTGTGTATATCAGGAGAAAATCTGGTTGCTGGGGACCATTTTGGCAGGTACAAGACTAAAGGATAAGCTGGTCAGTTCCAAAGTCATGCCAGACCCCTTAGGAGTCACTGGAAAGATTTCCACATGGCCTACCTTTACAAAGGCCATGCACTGTCTGATGTCTTCTGTGCAGGGAGGCGGTGATATTGGAAGGTCCTGTCCCAGAAGCATCCCCAAAGAGTTAAGTCTTCACCAGTGATGGGGGCTCACTGGCCCTCTTCTCTCCAGGCCTGCAGCTGGGGAGGCCACCTGGCAGTTGAAACTCAGACTTTTTATCCATGCTAAAGTATTTTGATCTAAAAGTGGTTCAAAACCTTGGTCTCCTTCTAGATAAATTTAGGCCCAGAAATCCCACAAGGCTAATGGCTCCTTCTCTCATCTAGCTACTGAGGAATGTGTCTTTTTAGAAAGATAAGAATTTTATTTTCTACTATCCCAGCCCCTTTATTCTCACTGCATATACTGTGAAAAATACATCAGGACTTGCATTTTTCATCTCATATTGATCTGAGTATCTTGGGGGTAAAAAACCTAGCAAATACAATGCTCTGCTTTTGTGAACCTCAAGGATCAAACCACTCTTATATTGCGGGGTTCTGCAATCATGAATGTATCTCTGTTCCCTCTTCGCCTTATCTCCTATCTCCTTCCCTTAAACCTGTAATAGTGCAGGTTTGTTCATTTTTCCCAAACACTGCAGTGTATTTCCCACCAGTGTCTATCCATACCTTTAACCTGTGTGCCACCATGTCTACCTCTGTTTGGTTCTATTTTTTCCTCAAAATTCCTTTTTCCCCATAATCTTCCTGATCAGCCCCCTCCCACCCCTGCTTCCCTTTGACACATTTGTCCACATTGCAGGAAATGCTGTCTAGGATTACTTGTTCTTACTTATGAAGTTGAAACATGAAATTAACAATATTCAACCATTATTGACCCATCAAATGTCACTTACACACATTTGAACCTAATAATCATCTTCTCATCCTCAATATAAATTCTCTTTGCATTCCAAGTATAGATATTTACCTGTAAAAAGAAATAAACCTTGACTGTTCTTAAATAGGCAAAATAGTAGAGAAGATCCCATTCTAACCTAAAAATGCACATTAATATACTCACCATGCATGAATTGGGATGTTTGTGATAATCCCCTGCAAAAATTTCTTATTGCAGTAAAAAAAAATACAAATATAAAATTTTATAGCACTAGAAATTATGGCTAGAGGCAATGATTTATATATATTATAAGGCTTTAATAGAGTCTATACTTCAAAAAGATCACAGAATTTTCATCAGCAAATTCTATATTCACTAAAATATATTTCACATTTATTATATAATTAGTTACACTAACCCAGTTAAAAAATAGCTTTAGAAAATTACACTTTATCTAAGCACATTGTAAGGATTCTTCTGCACCTCTCCATTAATGCAACCTTAATGCTATACACAGTTACATCCACTATCACGATAAACTGAAACTGGGTAAGGAATCATTTTGAAAAGATTAAATATTTTAAAACTAAGAGACTTATAAAGTATTCAACATCAAGTGCAAGGCCCATTGTTTACCAAAATAAAACTATTCAAAATGCATGATGATTATTGAACTGAATTCAGTATTTGAAGGATAGAATACAATTATATCAATGGAGCAACAGAGAACTAGGCAGTCTGTTACTTTGAGTACATCCACATTGGTAGGCTCAGAGTTATGTAAAGAAACAAGACAGCATTTTACCACTTCCCTGCTCCAGAACTGCAGTGGGCCAGTGAAGTTCAGAGCTCCTTGTCAATTATTCCATTTCTTAGAACCACATTTTTCTCAGCTGGTGAGTCATGTCTTCAGAACTCAACTCCAAACACATTTATATTGTTTTATTCTAAGCCTTTCAATCATGTAATATCAGGACATATAAAAGACCCATGAAACCAGGTAAATATGTATTTTAGGGGAAAAAAAATACTAAGCTCCAATTAAGTTGATTTGGATTTGCCACTTGTCTTTTATGACTCATTAAAACAAAACTGTATAACTCTGGTTTTTATATTTTTTAAATGAGTTTATAATTCAGTAGTCTTGATTAATACGATCCATCTTAATGTCCAAAAAAGAGAAGGGGTCAAACTTCTTTCATTGATGGTAGGAAGCCCACTTTCAACCCCCAAGGTCTTTCACCGTCAAGATAGCTATAAAAGGCTTTGTAAAGAGTGAGATTTTCTCTTCAAAGGTCTTCTTCTTTAATGTTTCCAAAAACACAGTCAATTTTGGTTATCTTAATCTTGCTTTTTCTTGATAGAAAATTAGAATAGTCTTTCTGCAGTAAACAGAGAATTCAGAAATGCATATGAAAGGAAATCCGTAATAATTAAAAGGTTAAAATAATAAGAGGCAACTGAAAGGTTTTGTTTGTTAGAACAATGGTTATTTTAAATGGTTTTATCCTACAGGAACTTTATTTGAGGGTAGGTGCACATCTACTAGGGCTGAGCTTGCCCCCTGCTGTTATGCTGAGGTAGTGATACCCAGAGGGCCTTTCCTGGCACCAGGATGTCACCCGAACTCTGCCTCTGTTTCCCAAGACTTTCAATTTTTAACTTCACTCAAAATCTTTAGTACATACCCCACTCAAATACAAAATTTTAACAAGTATTATAATTAATTCAAAACATTTTAAGAGGCTTTGGTTTCTAGAAACTTTTAGGAAGTAAATAATTTAGTTGTCTTTTAGTATTTATGAAATCTCAAGGACAGGACCATGGAGAATGGGCTTTGGACTTGATGAAATAAATGTGAGGCACTTCAACAGGAAGGTCAGATAAGGGTTTTTTTCACTCTGAGGGTTATATCTTGATAGACAATCCCCATGGCAAAATGGTTAAAGCAACCAATAAATTTTATTTGTAAAGTCACAAATAAAGACTATTTGGGATCGGAAACTGGCTCCATCATTTCTAGCTGTGTAACCTTGGACAATTTAACCTTTCTATGTTTCAGTTCCCTCAGCCATTATTATCCTAGGTTTACTATGGATGAATTGATTTACACTTGAACCAAGGATAATAGCCAGGCTGTTATGAGTATTAATGAGCTATATATGGAAGGCAGTTATAATGGTATCTGGTTCAGAACAAGCTCTATATAAAGGTTTGTTAAATAAGTTGGAATTCAAGATAGTTGGACACCAGTCCCCTTTCTGACAGGTTGGTCCTGCTCAGCATGAAGCAGGTTTGCCTTTTACTATTGCTGCTCACTGGAGGGGATGATTGAATGAGCATTAACACTGACCACGTGCTGTGTTGTCTGTTGTTCTAGGATAGTGGCTCTCAAACTTGAACATGTATCAGATTCATCTGCGGGGTTTGCTGATTGGGTTTGCAGATGACTGGTCCCCATCCCCAGAGTTTCTGGCCCAGTAGGCTTGTGACCTCAGGATTTGAATTTCTAATAAGTTCCCGAGAGATGCTGATGCTGCTGGTCCAGAGACCACACTTTGGCAATCACTGTTCTAGGAGAATGATTCCACTCCTGCCTGTACACGAGACCACCTGGGGAGATTTTTAAAATTTTGTTGCCGGGCCCTAGCCATTAGTTTTTAGAGCTCCCTTGATAATTCTAATGTACAGCCAAGGTTGAGAACCACAGCTCTGTGCTGTCACCACACTGCTGAAATGGATACATTTAAATGATGGGGTGATTACCACCTACATTGTGCAGAAGAAGAAAATGAAGCTTGGTACTGTTTGGTACAGTTTCCCTTTGGGATGCTTGCAATAAATTCTGATTTTTAGAGTCCTTACCCCAGATCTACTAAACCAATCTTTAGGGTGAGGCTCAGGAATTTACATATTTATAAGCACATCAGGGATCCTATACACTCATTTAGATTTTTTGTCTATTTGAAGAAACATAGTGATGGGGTTGTCATTTTCTATCTCTGATCTAAGCGTTCAGAAATGCTGTTATTCTGAAAAAAAAGAAAGCTTTACATTTTGCCTACTTAAATTTTTTTTCTGAGCTTAAGAAAACACCTTATATGCTTACAGATTTATAACTACTGTACTTATGTATTATTTATCTTTACATATACTGCAGATCCTGGCACAGGAGCTAGACCAATACTAAATTCCATCCCAATGCTACTTAGAGATCACCTTTATACCATCCACCTACACTAGGCTTTGAACCTAGAAAGGAAGAGTATGGAAAGGTAGTTAAGGGTAAAGCTCCAGAGTCAGGCTACCTGTTTCTTTCCCCCAATACTTACTGTGCAACCTGGGACAAATTACCTAACCTTGCTGTGCTCTACCTTCTTCAACTGATTTATATGGTCATTGTGAGGGGGAAAACCCTAGTCCACATAGAAGTGCTCAGAAGGGTGCTTGGTAACAATGGGTGCCTACTAACTCTTTTCATTATAATTTTTAATGTTATTCACACAATGGTTGAAATGCTATTTTCAACTAGTTTTTTGAACTTAAATTTGCTTTCTATGGAGTATATGGCAGAAAATCAATGAAACTAAAATATATAAACTACAGAGAGGGTTACCCCCCCCCAAATGCACATGGAGAAGAAAATTATTAAAGAATTTTGTATTCTTCTTGGAAATTTTCTACATAAAAATTAAGGAAAAGATTTTTTCTAGCCCTACTGGGTATTACAACAAAAAATAGGATACTCCTCTGTGGTTTTCCAAATGGTCCAACCTACATGCAGGAGCTTCTGGGAAAAAGAAATCTCACATCCTTAAAAGTACAATGGCTGTTACTTAAAGTGGAAAACAAGCAGACTTATCGAAATTGTAATGTATTGATTATATAATTTTACACACAGACCTGGCTTTGTTGAAAGTATTTTTTACTTCTGCCTTGTTCTGGAACTTCAATCTGCTAAATAGATTAGTAAAATGTCAGTGAGCACAGCCCAGAGAAGCAAGCACACAATGTATTTAACTAGCTCTCTTCCCACAATAGTCCCCGAGAGTAATGTGCCCAAAGGCTGCCAGTCAGTGGGCACACCTGCTTATTATCTGCACAGGCCCTCTTCCTTTGAAAAGTGTCCAAATATTACAGAAATTTAGTCCCCAAAAGTTAAGTGAAGCTTCTGTTTAACATTGGTGGTTACCGATGGGCTTTGTGATCTAACACAGCTTTTAAAAGGGCTTCACACAAAATGAAATGTCCTCCTAAATCCTGAAATAACCCACGGAGCTTCAGGCTTTACACTGAATCAAAGCCAAATCGGCCTTTGATGAATCCAAAGACACCATCAACCAAATGAAAATCAAACTGAAGCTCAAGACACTTGGATATACTTCATGTACTTAAGGTGAAACTTAATAGAACAGCCAGGGTCCCTGCAGAAAACAGATGGTGCACCCCTGGGGTAACTGAGGTTTTCAAAAGGCTATTTCATGGAAGAGTGGGCAGGATTAAGGTGAATCAATGAAGGCATGTTGGAACCCCCAAAGGCAAGAGTAAGGGGCTGGGAGGGTGCGATGGCCATTCTTATCACCTCTGGGCCTGAAAGGGCAAGGGGAGCAGCTGCTACTGAGACAAGGGCAGCTGCAGGTACAAAGAAGAGAAGCCCCCTGCTAAGGGCCATGACAACCATAGAAACCTAGCAGAGACAGAGTTAGAAAAATAAACCCAATCTCAATTTTCTCTCATCCTTCAATCTCACCAAGTATCCTCATGGGTGACCCCAGGCAGAGGTCAGAGGGCAAGTTCACAACACACAGAGGTCAGTCTCCAGGGCAAAGACCAGGGTAAAGGAAAGTGATCTGGAGGTGCACAGCCTGGCACAGTCAGTAAACATAATCTAACTGGATCTGGGAGAAGAGTTCTTTGACTCCTCTTATAGAAAAAGTAGAGCACTACTCCTAAACAGCTAGACATTATGTGCATGTCTCGATTTATCACTATAATTGTAAATGCCTTTTACTAATTGCCTTTCTCCTCCAACAAATGAGCTCCTTAACACTGGATCCTCGGCTTGTAGTCATTGCATGGTAAATACAGGGATTCATAAATGAAAGAATGAAAGGGTGAATTAGGTTGTTTATAATTCCTGAATAGTCCTGAGAGTACAGAGTGGGACATTTCAAAGTAAGGGAATAACTAATATGACACTGTATTAAAGCATTATCTCCTAACTTGAGTTAACTTAATTTGTCATAAAATATATACAGCTTTAAAGGATGCAAATCTATATATATGTATAGAATTTATAGGATCCTATAGGATTTATAGGATTTTCTAGGTTAGATTTCTTAAAATAAATAGTTCATATACTTGAAGACTCTCTCTCTTTCTCTCTCTCTCTCTATATATATATATATATAAATTTTAAAAATCAGGCAAGTCTTGATAAATGAGATACTAATGCTCTTTGTCCAATGTGCTTTGCTATTTTTTTAAATGACATTTCAATATAGTTTTTATGCAGTCTTTACAATGAAGTACAAAAGTTAGGGGAAAACTGGAAATTTTTCTCCTTCCCCACCCCTTCCCTATACAGAAATGAATAAAACAGAACCCACGATAAATGTTAAACAACTTCTTATACTATATGTTTGCTTGCCTTATTTTCAATAGGACTTTAAATATTTTATATACTAGAGACAATAAAATTAGGGGAAAAGCTAATCCCTTTTCATAATGCAGTATTTCTACACTCTCTCATCAGTGGAATAGTTTCTGTTACTTATATAACCACCTATTCCTGCACAGTAATTTCCCTCTGGCTCTCTAGAGTTCTGTCATCCTGCTCTGCTCAGACTATTCTCATGATGGATATGTTATGTCTGTACTTATTCTGTTTTCTAGACTGGATCAGCTATTCAAAAGCTGGCATTCCCAGGACATCAGAGAGCACTGCCCTTGGTGTGTCTCCTCAGCACATAATAGAAACACACTTCAAAGCATCCATCTCTGAGTCCAGTGGCATTTTACATAGTCTGATCTTGTCCAGAATGAAAGAGGAGCAGAGTGTGAATCTATATCCCCAAATCATACACAGTGTGGTTAACTCAATGAAAAATTATACAAGAAAAAGAAATAATGAGAATGTTTTAGTAAGAAAAATGAACACATATTAAAGCAGCTGATTAAAACTGGAAAAAAAAAGAGGTGTGGAAAGAAAGATTTATGGGGAGAGGGAGTTGGGGACAGGGGCGATAGCTATGAGGTAGACTGGGATGAGAGGGTGTCTTGTTGACCATTTTTCAGAAAAACAAATTAGAAATTTGGGCCCACTTTTAAGTAAACCTAAGGGAAAAACAAACCAATGAATAAAATAATAATTTTTTGACATTAAAATATAAACGTTTTCAATTCATTAAATTAAACACTAGCAAATTCCTGATATCTCTTCATGTGTTCAGATAATGGTTCAACAAAGTGGTGATTATACACTTTCAGAAACTCCTTAAGTGTACATCTACTGCATGCAACACATCTGCATTCTTTTCTTGGTGTCTTTCAATTTTTTTACATGGCAGAGATTGCTGGTATACTACTTCATTATCCATTCTGCTTTCTTTCCTAGTAATAACACCCAATTTTATTTAGAGAGATAACATACCCTGCAAGAAACTAAATTTATCAAAATCCCTTGCAGGTAGGTGTGGGCCTGTGGTATAACTCTTGGTTGATGAATTGTCAGCATAAATTCTTTCTGAAACTTGAGACTCCTCCTTGAAGAGAAGAGAAAAATGAATTCCATCTTTACAGTTTTTCTCTCTCTTTCCCTAGAATGTAGATGCAACAACTTGCACTCTGGCAGCCATCTTGGGGAAAAGCCACGAAGAAGATTGGCAGAAGAGAGTTCTCTGAGGTCACAATGCAGCTGCCCTCCCAGCCCTGGCCTGTCTGCCCGTGGGCTTCTTTGAGATGAGAGAAAAACTTTAAGACACTTGTTTTGTCTTTTGTTATATGCTGCCAAATCTACTAATACATTTTACTTTCAAATTAAATATTCCATTCAATTGTGTTCTAATTAAAATTAGCAAATATTAACAAAACTGACTCAGGCATTTGTATAGGTGCACCGCTCTAAGAAAGGTACACTTCCCCTCTGGTTTGCAGCTGATACCGCCTTGAGAATTTAACATGATTTTGTTGCTGTTGTGTGTTCACATTTTTCTTTAGTGAATTTGTTTGAACTCCAGGTTTAATTATCTCTTTATAAATGGTTTAAGCTTTACTTTGAAAGTATTGCCTAAAGCCAACTTAGCTCATTAACTTTTAAGTTAGCACTAAATTTATTTTTATTCTTTTACTCCTTTCTCAACAGGATAAAACAATACTATTTAATCTGCTTTCAGGGAGTATCTGTTTTATTTATGGGGCTCATTTGGTTAGTGTTTTCAGTCTCTCTTTCCCTCCCCAGATTCTTTAAATTATCAAAATCTTAGAATCTGTTCTGTCTTGCAAAACAGAGACCTTTGTATCTTAGTCCAAATAAGCCACTATAAGCGATGAGTTCAGACTTCATATGTCTATCTAGAAAATTAGTGAATGTCACAGTCACACATTGATATGGCTACTTTCAGCTCCAAATAATGACTTGTTGTAGTCATCTGCACTTTAAGAAAAGGCCCAGAGCTCAGTGTAAGTTCAAACAGCTGATCTGTCGATATTTTTTTCCACCAATTTTAATAATATCCAGGGATATGTAGATAAAATTCCAGACTAAAATGGATGGTCCCTCTAGCATCCTCTTGAAAATTCAGTTTTCCAAACAAAGAGTATTATCTTTTCTTTCAGGAACCTAAGTAAGTAAAGAAAAAAAGAGTTTGTGGAAATAAATTTGTCGATATTCGATTAAAGCAATATAAATATTGACTGATGTACTTATGTTGCTATCAGCCACAGGGATAAAGTATAGATTTCAATTTGTGTGTAAATCTAAGGAATGTAGTAGTATCATTTTTCTTGAAAGCTTTAAATAGGTCACTACCTTCTCTGATTGAGTTAACACTGCAGCTATTCACTGCGCAAGTATGTCCTATACCTATAGCTTATATTCTATTCAACCATACTTGAGAGAACTTCTTTGTGTTAATGGGGCCACTTTAGTTAATAACTTTATAGATATATACAAAAAAATGGAGCTTAAGTTGCACTCATCCTGTCTAAGAGGTTGGATTTTATCGCTCTTTTGAAAAAGCATCCTGAATCTTCATTGCTTTGATTTGCTACTCTCTAGTACACTTTGAATTGTTTGAATACCAAGGGACAGTGAATTCTGTTTTCCCTGGGAAAATATTTTCAGTTCTAGAGGAAAGAGAAAAAAGTATAAAATGCAAGTATTTTCACAGGAAAAAGAAGCTACAAAGTTAAGCAAAGATTAATGTTAAACTAAATCTGTTATCTATCTTTTCATAAAGGACTTCATGAATTTAAAGGAAAACATTGGAGAAAGTTTCTGAATATTTTCTATTATATTTTTAAAGATCAGTATAATATTCTGCAAAAAAAAAAGTTTATAAATGTCAACCAAGCATTAGTATGTAATCGTTTTTTAAAAAAATCAAACTTTTCTGTGTTATTTGGTGTCATGAAGGTAACCAGTCAAGTTGAAAAGCTTAAAATCTCAGTTAACTCTTTTCACAACCTGCCACTAACCCTTTCAATGGCCTTTATTAAAGAGATGAAGATTAGAAAATACAAAGTTTAATTTTACATGGAGAAAAATCAATAGCCTTTGGAGATCCTTTTACACAATGGCTTCTCCCAACTGGTAAAGGGAGTTGACACAATAGAAATATCAAGAGAAATCTGTAGAGTTTATTCAAGACCCTTCTTTATTGAAGACCTCTCAATGATGTCAGTGATTTTATGATGCAGTTTCTTTCTTCTGGATGAATCTGGAATCTTCCATTTGGGGGAAGGCAGAAATGTAAGAATGACAGAGAAGAGAGTTAAAGAGTTCTCAGCAATCTAAGGATAATTTTTCATTGGAAAAAATTCCATTGAATTCTAAGGACTGATCTCCCAGAGGGCTGAGGAGCTCACTCAGGGGCAAGTTGAATTCTTTCCTCAAGGTCTGACTTCTTGGGCCCCAGAATTCATCAGTGTATTTCCCACCAGATGGTGGGAACTTAAAAGTGAAAAATATACACAAATAAGAGCACTTACCATTTCTGGGTTCTCTGCAGCCAACTTTACTGTCTTTTCTGAGATCATCTTTTTCAAGCAGCTACTCAGTAAAAAAGCCTAAGAAATCCAAATATAAAGAACTTTTTCATGTGAAGACATCATTCTTTTCCTTGCCTCCATACACCAAAAGGCCGATTCTTGAGTTCTTCCCTTCCTTAGCATGCTTTTAAGAACTTAGATTTCTTCAACTTCCATAAACTTACATAAGATATAGTTAGCAAGTAACTATAAATTCTCTCAATTATATGGATATATTTATAGCAAATTTTAAAATAAGATGGAAAATACGTAGGATCTCATCACAAATCATTTTCCCTCTAGAAACGCCCCCTTCACATCCATTTTTATCTATAACTGCAAATAGTTTATGTTTTAGGAGCAAAAAATAGTAAAAACTGCTCATAATTATAATCAAGTCAACTGATGATGGTCAATCATATTTAATTATATTCATAGTTATTAAGGGAGCTATTATTAGTTGTGCATATGACCTGTCTGATTAAAATATTATTTTACAATCTTATTGTTTTTACTTAGCTAAAAATTAGTTCTTTTTAAAGGTCAAGAAAAATTGAAAACTAGCAAGCTGACCATTTAGTAATGGAGGGGGAAGATGGAAGGATCAAAACAGGGAGGAAATATGGTGATGGTTCACAGGTGATATGCTGCCAGGAGAACTATGGAGATGACAACAATGAAAGAAAAAAATTAATAAAAAAGAAAAAATACTTTCTTCACTTTATTTTTCTAGTATCTTTAATCATTCACTTTTAGAACTGGACAATTGCCCCGTATGTCACTTGTGGCTTATTGCTGACTCATCATTATGTGTGCCAAGACCCATGTAGCCACACATCTTGCTACACCACAACTAGGGCTTCCTCGTTCCAGGATTTTCACCACTATCAAATATGAGGTTCCCCACTAATTCCCCATTTGTTCCTTTCCCACTAATCCTTTTTCTCTCGTCCTACTATTAATTCTTGGCTTGTTCATTTCTCTTTTGGCCTTACTAAGGTTTGAAAAATCTACAGTTCAACTTGAGGCAATAGGATCTTGGTTTAAGTCTGCACTCAAGAATGGTCACTGCACTAGGGGCAATGATGGAAGGGAGGGGAGAAATAGAGAAAATGAGGTTGGCATGGTAGCTAAAGTAGAAAACTCTTGGAGGATAGGACATAGAAAGTAGAGTTTGTGAGAGAGTGGGCTACATATAGGTAACATCTCAAAGTCTTCCAGACTAAGATCATGATAGGAATTCATTTTATGGGGAGGGAAAGGAACATAAAGAAAGGAGCTACCACCAATAAGGAAAAGAGTAAGATTTATGATTTATATACAAAGACAAATTTTGACTTTCTGTTTTTGCTAAGAACTACTCCTGTTCATCTATGCATAGGTATAACCTACCTAAAAGTAGGGTGTGAGATAGTTAAACAGCAATATCCTGAACTGATGGAATTAGGAGGGATATTTAATAGTATCCCACAAGGTGTGACGGAGTCCATATTCCCAAACAATGTCAGGACTCCACTATAAACTGGATTTGTTAAATATAAAGAGACTCAGTTTTTGTTTAAAGTCCTAGAGAAGATTAAGAGATTTGGGCCCGTATTTGAATTTGCAAGTTACACAAGTCACATTTCTGCCTTTTGTAGAAGCAGCTCTTAGGTAAATATCAATAAACCCACAACCCAAAGGAAATAAAACCTTACTTGGAACCCTTTAAAAGATTGTTTATGGCACCTGTCTATCGTGGTTTAAACTCATTTGCCACAGACTAGATTAAAAGACCATAATAAAATTTAACTGCTGCACTTAGCATGAAGGGGGGGGAGGTCGTGGTTTCACAAAATCTCTTCGTGTGACCAAGAGATTGCAAATCTTGCCTCCACAAACCATCCTCATTTCTCTAAGGATGTTTCATATTAATGGTAAACCCAAGGATCCATTTCTTTAGCCGAGTATTTTGGTTTTATACTTGATTTTTTTTAGAGAAATTTGATATCTATTGTCTCATGATCATAACTGTACTAGACGTAGAGAGTTGAAAGGGGACTTTGACTAACTGGTACCAAATTACTCCATCAAACCTAGTAATTAGTGTGATCACCAAGGACTCAAGTTGAGTAGAATGCTGATGCAAAGATTTCTTTGATATTTTGGTTTGATTTTAGAATGCTCATAGTTTTAAAATTGCTAAATAGTTCAGTAAATACAATTTTTCAATTGGATTTTGTGTTCAGAAAATTAAGCCTTTTAAAGGATTTTTAATTAAATTTAAATTTTAATAACAAGCCTGTACTGGAAACGAACAGCTCCTATCCAACAACCATTGCCCCTTCTTCCCTCCTAAAAGAACCCTGCTTTTGTTTGGGATAATAAAGAGCCCAGTTCCAGGCAATGATGCATGCTTATTCTAAGTAGATTGTGTATCATTTTCTTCTTTGCTAAGAAGAAAACCTTCTCTCCAGGTAGTTTGTATTGCCTTGGAATAGATGAAGAGCACAATAGGGATGCCAATCACTTACCTCCAGGATTCTTACCAATATAAAAATTTGTTGTCCTCTAAGCCTGGGGTTAGCAAACAAAACAAGCCCCCTGACCTGTTTTTGTAAATAAAGCTTATTGGAAGATTGTTTATTGGAACATTGCCATATCCATTTGTTATTGTCTAAGGTTGTTTTTGTGCTACAACAATAAAGTAGTCACAACAAAGACCACCAGGACCTCAAAACCTAAAACACATACCATCTGGCCCCTCAAGAAAAAGTTGACTAGTCTCTGGTTAGCCACTGCTACATAGTAACTAAATTCATTTCTAACTGATATGAAGTCCATGGGAACTAGTAAAACAAAGTAAGAAACAAAGAAAAACAAAACAGAGTACATAGCACACTCTAATACTCTGCTCAATCTGCATTAGTCTCATGTGCTTGGTCAAGCCTAGCAAGCAAGAGAACATTGCAGCAGGGAAGGTTTTCATGCTTTGCCCAAAGACTTACCTGTTTGGTATAAAAAACAAACCATGGCCGGTGACTGTCCTCACTATACTGAAACCTGAGCTCTAAGTTCTGGTTGAGAGTTCGCTGGGGCCCATCCACATCCAACAGCGTACCCTGCAGAGGAAAAGATATTATTTGATATTCAGTTGAAATTTCAGTGACTAATAAGTGCTGGGCAAAATGTCAAAACAAGTGAGACCACCCCTATGAGCAGTCTATGAGCAGCCATGAGGGCAAAACACCACAGTTTGATATAATAAGTGTTATAATGGAAACAAGCACAAGTCTGTGAAAACAACAAAAATGGGCACCTAATCAAGAACAGGAGGGTAAAGGCAGGCTCCCTGGAAGGGGCAGGTGTTCTGAGAAGAAATAGGAACTATCGAAGTTTATTGTTATGTGTGGGTAGTTTTTCTTTGGGAGTGGGGGCGATTGCAAAGTACAGGATGGTGATGGTAGTGATAGCAGTGGTGACAGCGGTAGCAGAAGAGGCTTATGGAGGCACGGTGGGGCCAGATCCTGAAAGCCTAGTAGGAGGCTCCTGTGATTTTCACTATACTATACCCCTCTTTCTCCTAGAAATAGAGTCTCAGATATTCTTGGGGAAACCCTCCCTTTCTACTGTGGCTATCTAGGTAAAGGGCATCACGGAACTCTGCCCTGCTGAAGCGGCATATGACCAAGCTCAGGTCAAATGTACACACACGACCTGTGGCCCTAATTTGATTCCGGAGCAGAAAGACCTAACCTGCAGATCCGAATAAAGATTTGTATCGTAGAAACCTCCAATTCCTCTGGATCCTAATTTTACTAAGTCTCTGCTTCAGCTTTTCCTTTTAACCAGTGGGTTATTCTATTTCCCTCCAATAAACCACTTTTTTCCCCACTAAGCCAGAAGCATCGGTTTCTATTGATTATCACCAGCAAACCCTGTTATAGGTTTTATATGCTAAGTGAAAGAGTCTGGACTTTATCTTGAGGGCAATAGGCATTCATGAAAAGATTTTAAAAACTGGATAATAACACACACAATTAGTACTAAAATACCGGTCTGACAGCATTGATAAAAAAAAAATGAACTGGGAAACAGCTGCTTTCAAACATTGAACAATAGATAATGCAGACTGTCAACTCAGAGAGAAGCAAAACAGATGAGGTGAGTCCTACAATTTCTCAGCTTACTGCTTGGAGGAGTTTCTAGGATATATTTCAGGGAGGGGGAACCCAAACAGAGCCAGAGGTCTTGCTGAGTTGAGGAGAAAGAGATAAAAATTTGAAGAAGCCGAGGAGCAGAAGGTCAAAAATGAGGGCTTTACACAGAGAAAGAGCTCCAGGAATTCCTTTCCAGTCTTTGGCTGAATTAAGGCCTGTGCACGTGGGGATGGCGGATGTGCACAGACTGGGGAAAGGACCACTGAAAAGCAGTAGGTTAAACAATCCCAGGAGCTCACAAACCAGACTGAAAAGTTTGTGTTTCTATCAACCAAAGTGGAAACCACAGTAAATAATAGATTGGATGTGTCCTAGGAATAGCCGCTAATGAGTAAAGAGCTGAATTAGCTCTACTCACTGCTCTAGACCTGTCTTAGGAAAGTGTCAGAGCAAGCCTACAATACAATGAAATGAAATAAAATAAAATAAAAGCCAATCCTAAGTAACTGAATGGATGCCAGAACAGGCTGCTACTCTTCAAAGGAATACCAAAAAATCTAGTATCTAACAATGTAAAATCATAATGTTCAGCACACCATAAAAAAAATTAGCTGATATAAAAAATAGGAAAGATGCTCTGTAAACAGGAGAAATCAATCAATAGAAATATCCAGAAATCATGGAGCGGATGTAATTAGTAGACAATAGCATTAAAACTATTATTTTAAATATGCTATATACACTCAGAAATTTAGAGACCATATAGCATAAGGTAAGAAATGGAAAATATAAAAAAAGAATCAAATGGAACTTCTAGAGATGAAAAATATAATATTAGAAGTTAAAATATCTGGATGGGGAGAACATTAAACATTTCAGAAGAAAAGATCAATGATCTTGAGCCTGTAACAACAGAAATTTCCCAAAATGAAGTGCAGGGAGGAAAAAGTCAGAACTAAATAAAACTACAGTGAGATTCTATTACCTTATACACACTAGGATGGTTAAAATTAAAAATTCAGATAATTACAAGTGTTGACAAGGATTTGGAGAAACTGGCACTCTTAAAAACTGCTGGTGGAGAAATAAAATGGAGTAGACACTTTCTAAAACAGTTTGGAATTTCCTCAAAAGTTAATACAAAGTTACCACTACAGATTCCATACCTTGGTATATACCCAAGAGAAATGAAAACATATGCCCACACAAATATTATTTGAGCATAATTCACAGAGTCACAAAGTAGAAGCAACTCAAATGTCCACCACTGGATGAATGGCTAAACAAAATTTGGTATATCCTCACAATGAAATAAAAAGGGATGAAGTACTGATAATGCTACAACAATGATGGACCTTGGACACGTGTTAAGTACAAGAAGCCAATCATAATCATGAACACATGATTTCATTAATATGAAATGTTTAGATGAGGCAACTGTATAGAGACAGAAAGGGATCAGAGGTTCCTTAGGAGTGGCGGGGATGGAGAGACAGTAAGGAGACAGCTAAGGAGCATAGGAATTCTTCACAGGGTAATAAGAAGTTCTAAAACTGGTGGTGATGGTTGCACAATTCTGTGTATATTCTAAATACCATTGAATTGTTTGCTTTATGTGTGTGAATTGTATTGGCATCAAATTATAATTGATAAACCTGTTACAAAGAAAGAGAATGAATGCATAGTATTTGTGTGTGCAGGGTGAATATATAGATCAGTAGAACAAGAAAGAGAATCAAAAAACAGATCCAGACAAATTTGTCCAACTGATTTTTGATAAAGGTGCTAAAACACAAATGGGCTGTAGCAACTGGGCTTCAACAAGCAAAACAGAACCTTATTCTAAGTTTTACACCCTACACCCTAACCTCAAATGGACCCAACTTAAAACACTATAAAACTTTTAGACACCTAAAAAATCTCCAGGATTTAGGGATTTACAAAGAGTTCTGGACTTGACACTGAGAGCACAACCTGCAAAGGGAAAAACAGTGACTTAGACTTCATCAAAATAAAAAAATTTTGCTTTGTTAAGAGGACAAAAAAACTACCGAGGGAAAGTATTTGAAACCACAGATTCAACAGAGGAGTACTATCTAAAAAATATTAAGTACTCCCAAAACTCAACAGTAAAAAGAAAAATACAATTAGAAATTTTCAGATATTTTGCCAAAGATATACAGACAGTAAATAAGCACATGAAAAGATATTCAATATCATTAGTCTTGAGGGAAGTGCAAATTAAAATCACAATGAAATACCATTACACACTTATCAAAATGACTAAAATAAAAAGTGGTGACAATGCCAAATGCTGATTAGGAGCCAGGGAAACGAGATTAATTAATAGCTGTTGGGAATGTAAATTGGTCCAGCCACCCTTGAAAACAGTTTGGCAGTTTCTTGAAGAACTAAACATGCAAGTTTCTTATGAATACTCAATTGCACTTCTGGGCAATTTTCCTAGAGAAATGAAGACTTGTGCTCAAACAAAATTTATACCTAAATATTTACAGAAGCTTTTATCATAATACCTAAAAACTGGAAACAACCAGATATCTTTTATTGGGTGAATAGTTAAGCACATTTTAGCCATTCCATACCAGTAATAAAACAAAACTATTGATACAACAGGCTGGATGAATTTCCAAAGAATTATGCTGAGTAAAGAAAAGGCAATTCTAAAAGTCTACATACCATATGATTCCATTTATGTAACATTCTTTTTTTTAAAGGTAATCAATTCCTTGGTTTATTTATATTTTTACTTCCTAAAAATAGTCAATTGAGATTATTCACAGTATCATTGTAAATTAATGAATCACTGAATCGCTGCCCCAAGGGAATACAGGGTGAGGTTCTTGTGAACATCTGGTCACATTTTCATCAACTGCTCATGTATCACTTTGTTTTATGTGTGTTTCTACTTCTTTTTATTTTTTTTACACTTTTAAAAAATTATTTATTTATTCATACAAGAACTAGGGTACAGGTCAGAAGTGTGGGAGGTGAGAGGATACACCAGAGACAGAGTGGGGAACAGAACAGGCAGATTGACTGAAATATACTGCTGAGGGGAACAGCGGGCGAGACAGGAGAGGTCTGCTACACCATGTGGGTAGCAACCTGGCTGACCAGGGATCGAACTTGTGCTGCAGTGGCTGTGGATAGCTTCATAGGTTGTGTCTTAACCCCTTGCACCACCAGAGAGGCCCTACTTCTTTTCAAGAAAAGTTTTATTAAGATATGACTGACATATAAGAAACCTACATATTTAATATATATAATTTGATAAATTTGGACATATGCATGTCTGTGAAATCAACATCACATCAAGGTAATAAATATATCCACTATCTCTAAAAGTTTTACATCATATTCTTGAAATGACACAATTACAGAAATGACAAACATATTAGTGGTAGCAAGGGGTTCAGGGGGTGGGGGTGGGAGAAAGGCCAATATGAGCGGTCTCTGTGGTGATGGAAATGTTCTGGTTCCTGACTCTCTCAGTGTCAATATCTGAGATGTTGATAGTGTACTATAGTTTGGCAAGATGTAAATAAGCAGATAAAAGTAGATAAAGAGTATATAGGACCTTCGCACCACTTCTTACAACTGCATATAAGTCTATAATTATTTCAAAAATAAAAGCTTTAACTAAAAAAAAGTTAACAAATAATGAATCACAGATATACATTAAAGACTCTAAAGTAACCATGAATAAATTGGAACGGTACAGCTAAAAAAATCCAGTAACACAAACAAATGACATCATAAAATATTGAGCTACAAGAAGGTAGAATAAGAGTGGAGAGAAACTGATAAAATTTAAAGAAATAGGCAAATCCACAACTGTATTTAAAGGTTTTCACAATCTTCTCAAAAACTGAGAGAAAAAGAGGAGAGAAAAGGTACAAGGATATAAGAGATTTGAACATTATCAACTGCTTGACATAATTCATTTATAGAATATTCCACTCATTACCATTAGAAAACACATTCTTCTCAAGTGCACAAGGAACATTTACCAAGATAGACCCAATGTTGGGCCACAAGACAAGTTCCAAAGCTTTAAAGGGACTGGGGCAGAGAGGAGGGTTAGGGTGATCCCTCCAGGTAGGAAAGGCTGAGACCAAGCTATGAGGACAAAGGAGGGAGAGTAGTTAGTTCTCCATTAGCAACTAAATGTGTAGGGTAAGAGAGATAGAAGTTAAAGGTAACTGCAAGGCTGCTGGCTTCACAACAAGGGTGGTGGTGGTGTTATCCAATATAGGCCATGGGTAGGGCGAGCCCCAAGATGGGCATGAGAGAGATTCTGGGTGATTCTGGTTTGGGGGAAGGTTGAATTTGAGATGTCTTCACCAAGAAACACCTGGTAAAGATGACCAGAAGGCAGGAGGAAAAACCAAACCTTTTGACAGGGACCTGTGTTATTGATTTCAGAGGAGAGGTAGAGGAAAGATACTCACAAGAGTGAGCACAGGGAGAACAGCCCACAAAAATAGAGAAAGAAGAGGGAGTTTTTAGAAAAAAGAAATGGTTGACAGTATCAAATGCCACAGAGAGGTCTAGCACTGAGCCAGTTAAAACCCCTCAGGATTCTGAGCATTTAGCTAGGGGGGGTCATGATTGCTTTGATGACACTTTTCCTCTACTAGCTAACCTGTGTAAAGGGGATAATCGCACTTAGCTCACTGAGTTGTCAGAAGTTAATTAAATAATAGATGTGGGCTTCCCTAGTGGCGCAAGGGGTTAAGCACCACACTATGAAGAAATCCACAGCCTCTGCAGCATGAGTTTATCCCCAGCTGGCCAGGGAGAAATCCACATGGTGCAGCAAACCTCTCCTGTCACGCACGCTGCTCCCCTCCACAGTGTATTTCAGTCATTCTGCCTGTTCTGTTCCCCACTCTGTCTCTGGTGAATCCTCTCACCCATCACACTTCTGGCCTGTACCCTAACTCTTGTATGCATAAATAAATAAATCTTTAAAAAAAAAGCTGAAGTAAAATTGAAAAAAATTAAAAAGAAAATAATAGATGTGGCAGTGCCTAGCACAGCACCTGGTACAAAGAAGGTAATCAAAACATCTGATAATAAGGGTGTTTCTTGGGAGGGATGGCAATGTAGGTAAGGAGTTAGGGATCCTTAAGAATAGCTTTGCTGGTTGGCATCCAGTTTTGATGGGTAGCAATCTTGCCAGTTCTGAGTATATGTTAAGTGCTCGGTAATTGGTAGCTGTTACTGCTATAAGCTGTTATCACCCTAGCCACCCTTCTAACAGTAGAGAAGCTCCTTGTTGGAAGGTGGGAAGATTGGTTTCTCATTGCTACAGGTGGTGCTTTTGTACCAGACAATGGGCTTGGACCTTAGATGATAATGTGCTGACATGTCAGTCCATTCAAGGTACCGATTCATACAGCAGAACTGTCTCCCTCAGGCCAACATTGTCATCCAAGAACAATAAGATTTTCAATCACAGGAGACTTTAAATCATGGGTTAGGCAAAGTGCCAAGATACTCACAAGGAAGGTGACTTGCCAACACTTCACTCTGTTCATCTGGAAAGTGACATCCTGGGTCTGGTTATCTGGCAGGGTTATGCAGCAGCTGATCTCATTATTGCCAACAGAAAGGACAGTCCCACAGCCAGGTTCTGGGTAGTCACATGTACAAGGGTCCAGCTGCATATAGCCGTAGTGTCGTACCTCCTGGGACAGCTCCAAAAACTGCTCCAAAAAAGCAGGGGTGGAGTGGGGAGTAGGAAGGAGGAAGCAAAAGACCACTTGAAAAAGAAGAAAACCACATGTCAGAAGTTACTGCCATACTATTAGAACACAGAGTTGAGCCATAGTGAAAGCAGTTTTCTCTTCCAGACATTATGAAGCAAGATAATGCCCCCTTTGCTCTCTGACAGTAAGGGCAAGGGAAGTTCAGGCGTGTCCTTCTCACCATTGTGTCCCTGCTCCAGTTATGGCACTTGGCACTTAGTGGGTGAATCAATGAAATTAGTAAATGTGATTCTATCTTAAGAGATAACAATGAGATAAGCCCCCCAAAAATGTACATTTAAAATGTCATCTTTTAAAAAAATTAAGAGATCTGTGTAGGAGGAAAGCTGTTCATTTACAGGCAGCTGTATGGTGATATTGTCAGTTATACATAAGAGCATGCACCAGTTCCCAAAGTGCCAAGGAAACACCTCAAGGTATAGCCTTTCCCTCTGCTTCTGACACAACTTGAGAACAGCTGGAAGCTACAGTCCACAACATGGTCCAAGCATCCTGTCCTCACATTCAACTAGGACTTTTAATTTTTTCAGTGTCATGATTAACAATTGCATTCAAAGGAGTTGATCTCAGTTTGGGGACCTCTGCTTTGTTCTTCCAGCTTTCACCGCAGTCCTGGCTGATAGTGTGCAGACATGTGTGTCTGACAGGACACACCTGAACTTCTCAGTGTAACACAGAGTTAAGTCAAAAGGAAGACCAAAGTGACAAACTGGTCTTTCTAGACCCTCTCAAGGATGCCGTGAAATGTTGTCCGATCAAGTGAAACAAGTGGACATATAGGCAGTGAGGTACAGCCATCCCAGCACAAAGAGGGGGAGATATTTGAGGCTAAGTTCTTCCCCAGCCACGTGTCATACCAGTTGGTTTGCTGAAGCCCATGCATTCAGCGTAGAGGTGCAGACAGCTGGTGGATTCAGATGCATAAAGTTGGGTCAGTGGGAATTATAAGGAAAAAACAGGTTGTGAGTAGATGCCCGTGTGTAGGGCAGGGGTAGGACAGAGTAATCTCACCACAGAGCATACAGAGAAGTGTCATGCTATTCCTACAAGTTTCTTAATTATTATAAGGGGAAAATAATTGTTTATTTTATTCTTTTATAATACTTAGAAATATAATATGTTCTTGGCTGTCATACTCTTAAACAAGAGATAAAAGTGTTTAATTAGAGATTAAGCTCCAGACCCTCCCTGGTGGTGCAGGCGGTTGAGCGCAGTGCTGTGAAGCTGTGTACAGCCTCTGCAGTGCCAGTTTGATCCCTGACGGCCGTGGAGATACCCATATGGAGCAGCAGCCCTCTCCTGTCTCACCCGCTGCTCCCCTCAGCAGTGTATTTCAGTCGGTCTGCCTGGTCTGTTCCCAGCTCTGTCTCTGGTGAATCCACTCACCCTCCCACACATATGGCCTGTACTCCAGTTCTTGTGTAAATAATAAATAAATTTTTTAAAAAAGAATCTTAGAGGTGTATTTTTTTAAAAAAAGAAATTAAACTCCATTTTCCAGGAAAGTTGATGAATAATTAACTTGCTCAAAACACTTATTGGCATTTGCCATTCATAAGGGGGATATTAGTAATACTATGAAAACTAGAGGACAAAAATCTGCAAGGATTATCCATTTGAAAATTAGTTTTTTAAGAAGACTGGACCTGAAAAAGATAATTTAATATGTGTAAATGTAGAAGTTACGTTTACATATTTTTGTTTTGATCAGGGGTCAGAAAACATCTCTCTTAAGAATCATGTAAATATTTTCAGTTTTTCGGATATATGGTCTTTATTACAATCACCTCTACTCCTCTAGAACAAAAGCTGCCTTAGGCAATACTGTCAGAGAATAACTGCAACTGTGTGGCAATAAAACTTTATTTTCATTGGCTCTAGTGAGATATCTTTGATTCAGGCCAAATGCCTGCACCTTTAAATTAATGTCACACTGGGCCTCCCTGGTGGCGCAGCGGTTGAGCGCTGGGTTGTGAAGCTGCCCGCAGCCTCTGCAGCGCCGGTTCGATCCCCGGCTGCTCCCCAGCCACCGGAGGAGGGTTCCACATGGCGCGCAGACCTCTCCTGCCGCCTGCTGCTCCCCTCAGCAGTATACTTCGGTCCTTCTGCCTGTTCTGCTCCCCGCTCTGGCTCTGGTGGATTCTCTCACCCTCCCGCGCTTCTGACTGTGCACTGGTGCTTGTATAAATAAATAAATAAATCTTAAAAAAGTAAAATAAAATAAAATGTATAAAAAAAATAATGTCACACATAAGACCTGAAACCATAAAATATATAGAAGAAAATATAGTTAAAACACTACAAGACATACATACATCACAATAAGATCTTTAAAGACTCATCACCCAAAGCAAAGAAAGTCAAGGAAAAGATAAACACCCGGGATTACATCAAACTGAAAAGCTTCTGCACAGCAAAAGAGACATTAACCAAAACAGAGAGACACCCCACTGATTGGGAAAAAATCTTTGCACTCCAGTCAACTGATATGGGACTGATCACGACTCAACAAAAACAAAATAAACAATCCGGTTAAGAAATGGGCAGAAGAACTTAAAAGACATTTATCCAAAGAGGAAATGCAAATGCCAACAGGCATATGAAAAAATGTTCAACATCCCTTATCATCAGGGAAATGCAAATCAAAACCACATTGCGATACCACCTTACACCAGCGAGAATGGCACATTTCAAAAAAACTAGCAACAACAAATGTTGGTGAGGATGTGGTGAAAAAGGAACTCTCCAACATTGTTGGTGGGAATGCAAACTGGTCCAAGCTGTCTGGAGGGAAGCTGTCTGGAGGTTCTTCAGTCTACTAAAAATGGAGCTACCATACGACCCGGCAATTTCACTCCTAGGGATCTACCCAAAGGACACAAAAACATTGATTCAAAAGAGCACCTGTACACCTATGTTTATTGCAGCACTATTTCTAATAGGTAAAACCTGGAAACAACCCAAATGCCCAAAAGTAGATGACTAGATCAAGAAGATGTGGCATATATACACAATGGAATATTATTCAGCAATCAAAAAAGATAAACTTATGCCATTTGCAGCAACATGGATGGAGCTAGAAGGAATTATGCTCAGTGAAATAAGCCAGAAGGAAAAAGAAAAGTATCGTATGGTTCCACTTATAGCAAGAATACAGGGGAACCAAATAAGACATCAGTGTAAAAAAAAAACAAAAAAACAATAGTATGAAACACAACAAAGCAAAAATGGACAATTATAAATCAGAGACATACTGCAGGGGAGGAGGAGGGAGAGGGATCAGAGGGAGGGAGGGAGGAGCACAGGGGACTGAGGTGATGGTGCACGGGTGCATTGGTGAAGGAAACTCAATGGGGACTCCACCTGAGGGGGTGGGGGGAAGCAAATATTGTTTAAAAATGAACAATGATGTAAAAAATTAAAAATAATAATAAATAAATAAATAAATTGATGCCACACATTCCAAGTTTTCTTTCACACACATAAAGAAAAGTAATGTTGTTAATGTGTCACCTCCAGTAGCAGGAAAAAAAACTTCATAAGCAAATTATGCTATCAATACTCTCAGGTGTTTCAAGAAAAAATATCAGCTTTCAGGTGTTTCAAGAAAAAATATCAGCTAATTTAAATAATCATTCAATTTTTTTATCATCTCATTTATGCACTCAAAGTTTCTTTAAGATTAAAGTATGGTAAGACCTGGTAAACACTCATCACAGAAAATAAAACTGTTTTGTGGCAAAAAAAAAAATTATGAATTTTGGTCGAGCATAGCAGAATGGTAAAGAGTATCCTTACTAAATTAAGAAGTTCATAGAGCAGAAATGCACTTAGAGTTTGTAATTATATCCAAAGTAGCAGCAATGGTTATGTTAGTCAAATGTTAATCTTGACTAATACATAAAGAACTTAAACTCAGTTCTGTGACAAAGCTATGGTGGAATACCAAAGTAGGAGGGTAGGGGGGCGGTCAATGTTTACACCGTGGCAATGAGCTCACATTCTCTCTTCCTTTCATCTTCCTCCCTCCACTATCCACTTCTCTCTTGCCCATTGATTAAAACTATCAAAATGTCAAGAATTACTTTCTATATCAACCTAACTATAAATGAGTCTTCTCATTTGCTTGCATTTTGTTCAAAATCGTTAACACTGGCAAAGTCTAAAGAATTAAAAAAAAAAAAAGACAAAACAATGAATCAGAGGCCAGTTCTTCTGTTTCAATATGTCTCGTTTGTCGGACTCACATATACTGCTTGGAGACAGGAGATGTGGGAGTTGGCACCCCTTTACAGAAGCTTTAAAATGGACATTTAGAAATAGATCCTATGGAATAATAGAACACACAAAGACAGGATGCTGGCAGCTGTGTTCAGGGACCTTCAGCCAGGGACCACACAGGTGCTGGGAATACACAGGGTATGTACAAATTAGACACAGTCCTGGGCCTTGTGGAGCTCCCTGCCAAAGTGATTTATAGTAGCAGAAGCTGGAAACAACCTCACTTCTAATAATAGGAAATTGGTTAGATAAATGCTAACATGACCATAAAATGGGGTACTCTGTGGTCATTAAAAATAATGTTAATGGTCTATATTGACTTGACAGAGGACTTAACTATATTGCTGTTTTGAGAATTGTATTTAATAAGCCTTTATTTTATAATCAGAAAAATGAATAAAAGTATTCTCATTTTTTAAAAGAATCCCATTTTAAGTGCTTGTCAGGTTTATAAATTATAGAAGCAGCTCAATTCCAATATGCTATCTTAATCCCCTTCCAAGGGATTTCTCTTGGTGCAATATTTGATTCACCTTTGTTTGGTTGTCTTCCTTCTGGAGAGTCTCTAATTTCTGCCTCTGCGCCTGTGTGGGTTTGGCCCATTCTTTTTCAATGTCTTGTAATGCCTTAAAAAAGCATAAGTCATAAAATTAGCAAACTTCGCAGAAATGAATCAATCTGACAAAAACATATTTGTATATGAGAGGCTAGAAATACAGGCGCAAGTGGACATATGTAAGAATTTAGCATGTTATAAAGATTATTTTTAAAATTAGTGGGTGTAGAAAGAGATTGTTCAATGTTTGGGACAATTGCAGCACTTGGAAAAGAAAACAAAGTTACCTCTTTTCCCACACCACCTGATCCAATAAATCCAGATAAATGAAAGATTTTTAAAAATATTAAACAATAAATAAATAAACCAGAAGAAAAGACAGGAAAATTTTTTATTTTACTTTGAGGTAGGAAATATAGAAGATACAAAGACAAAATATAATAAAGGAATATATAGTTATATAAAAATATAAAACTTCTATACACAATACCACCAAGAACAAAACTAAGAAGAAATGACAAACCAGGGAAAATGATTGCATCATATGTAGCAAAGAGTTAATGCTATTTATATAAAGCAATAGGAAAAAATATGAACAACCCTAATAGGCAAATGGACAAAGATGATGTATCAGCAACTGACAAAAAGGAACTCTAGCGACAAGAATATATTCAGCCTCACTAGCAAAGAAGTTTTTTGCCTCTCAAACTGGCAAACACAAGTACACATGTTACATATATAATATTCAGAGTTGAAAAGGGTTTGGGGAAACAGGAATTTTCATAGAGAACGTATGGGCTTTAAATTGGTACAACTTTATGGAAGGAATTTGGCAACACAAATCTAAAACCACTTATAGGAATGATAGTCAATAGAAGTGAAGGATATGTGTTAACAAGGCTGCTACTACTGCTGGTACTGTTGAAAAATTTCAACTCTTTAAGAGAGGCAAACATGCATGTAGTGCTTACTATGTGTCAGGCTTGCACTAAATCAAAAGCCAGTCCCTCCAGCCACCCTATGAAGTAGGTGCTATTGTGAATTGCCCCAAACAGGTGATTTGGTGCAACCAAATAATAGGTGATGCTATCATTAAAAAATATATAGAATACTTAAGAGCATGGGAAAAGTCTGTGGTGAAAAGAACGTTAAGTTACAGAATTAGGGCATAATAGTAGATACTGATTATTTTAACACTGATAAATATATTTTAAAAATCTTGTATACTGAGTTATGAGTCAAGCCAATGGATGTGCATATAAATGAAATAAATACAGAATAAACACCAAAAATATTAAGAGTTTAAATGCATGATTAAGATTTGGAGTGACATTTACTTTTGTATTTGAGCTTTGTCCTATTTGTAACTTTTTTCTAAGATGAAAACAAATTTGACAATTAAAAAAAAAGTGAATACATCGCTGGGCCCCATTTGCTGAACTTTGGGTAACCGCCACCAGCAAATGCTCCTAAGCACAAATCTCTATTAGGTTTCTCACTTCTATTTCCTAAACCACACTGGAGGTTTAAGCAGAGAAATGCTGGGCTCAAAAGCAGGACTCTGGAACCAGGAAAAACACTAACTATAACAAAGAAAAAATCAAAATCAACAATCAACTATAAACCAAAGCAATACTACGGGGCAGGAAGAGGAAGGATTAGGGTCAAAATAAGGGGGGTGCAATTGTATGGGGAATATAACCAAAATAAAAATGCATATATTGTGCAAAAATGAAAAATGATGTAAGAATTATATAAAATAACCCGGCCACTGGGCGAGGGTCCCACATGGCGCGCAGACCTCTTCTGCCGCCCGCTGCTCCCCTCAGCAGTGTACTTCGTCCATCTGCCTGTTCTGATCCCTGCTCTGGCTCTGGTGAATTCTCTCACCCTCTTGCGCTTCTGACTGTACCCAGTGCTTGTATAAAAAAATAAATAAATCTTTTTTTTTAATTATATAAAATAAAATATTAAAAAAAAAAAAGGACTCTCCTGAAGAGACTGTTCCCTTGATCATTCTTCAGAACTTCTAGGCTCCTTTCACCTCTGTCACTGACCTCCCTTCCCCTTTATCCAGCCTGGTCCTGAGGAGGTTCTGATATTAGCTGTTCATCTCATTAGCTATATATGCTTAGCCTATACTATGAAGGCTTTTTTCATTGGTCTTCACATAGATTGTTAATCTCTTAAGGGAAGACCTGTGTATCCTATCCAGTGTGTTACATACAGCAAACACTCAATAATCTTTGCCAGTTATCAGGAGGCTCTGATGTTGTACACCTTAGTCTCAATGTAAGACTGTGTGTTACATCCCTCAGTTATATTGGCAGGTGGCGCCTCATCTCCAAGAGAAGAATGAAAGGCTGAGTAAATTGCTGACACTGCTATTTAGCTTGGGGAGGAAAGGAAATGAGTTTTAAGAGAAGATGATATTTGTTGAGAACCCTTTTTTTTTTTTAAGATTTATTTATTTATACAAGTACTGGGTACAGACAGAAACGTGGGAGGGTGAGAGAATTCACCAGAGCAGGGAACAGAACAGACAGACTGACAAAATACACTGCTGAGGGGAGCAGTGGGCATGGCAGGAGAGGTCTGTGCACCAGCTGGGACCCTTGCCTGTGGCCGGGGATCAAACTGGCACTGCAGAGGCTGCGGGCAGCTTTGCAGCCCAGCGCTCAACCGCTGCGCCACCAGGGGAGGCCCGAGAACCCATTTTTACATAGGTTTTCTCACTGGCATTGCCATACTATGTAGTCTGTGGGATAGGGCCATTAGCCCCATTTTTATAGATGGGTAAACTAAGGCCCAGAGAGGTTACAACTTTCAAGACAATGCAACAAATAAGTGGGAAGACTTGGACTGGAATTCCACCAAGCCCCGCTACTCCTGCTTAAGCCATGGTAAGAATTCAGTTATTCATTGTCATCACGTTGGCAGCAACCCCCAAGGCTTTCTTCTTGTAGTCAAATAGTATCAAAACTGAACCTAGACGCCATCCCAGAGTGGAATTAACATGGGTATGAAAAAATAATGTCCTTTCTTGGATTTTAGCAAGGACTATTAGCCCAGGACAATGATGCCAAAGGGAAAGCATGTCTCCCTGCAGGTCAGCATTGATGGTGGCAGAGGCTATCACAGATACGGCAGGTGTTTGTAGGGTCCCCAGGGCTCTCAGACACAGAGACTTGTATGTCCTGCAGCGGAGGTAATATATTTTTTGTTTCACTATGTTTGAAAACATTTGACCCTGATTGTGGGTTCACAAGTCATCACTCACACACATTATATACAGTACCTCACTCCAGACAAAGACTGAATCAATTTTAGACAGATGTCTCTACTCAGTTATATGGTTCCCTGAGGAGTGGCCAATGGAGACTTAAACAGAAGTTAACTTTTAAAATCAAGTGAAAACACAAGCCATGGTTTTCATGAGCTTCAATCACACATACTTCATTGCCCTCTGTAGAGAGCATGGTGGTGAGAAATGAAGAGCATGGACCCCTTTCAGCAAGGCTAAGATTCTCAGTTCTGGCTCACTGAGGCAGGACAGAACAAGGCCAGGGGCATGTAAGCAGCTAGGCCCTGTACAAGGACTCAACCATGGCGATATTGGAGGATAGGATCAGCCCATGCTCCCCCTACCAAGCCACAAGCTCTGACATGGGGCCAGGCCCATCTGGAGGAAGTGGCACCAAGTTGCCTTAGGGCTCAGTGGTTGCCCTGGCCAAAACACAGACCCAAAATTGAGGGAACCATAATTATTTTTTTTTTAAAATCTAAAAATGATCTAATGTCCCATTTTATTAATGTCACTAATGTATTTCAAAAGAGCAAGAAAGAAAACATATTGTAAGAGTCTAGTTGGTTCCTGGAATATCATTGGGCACTAGAAAAATCTGCATTAGAAATATCAAAACGGTATCCCTTAATAGTTAATTATGATGGTACCTTTATATCAGAAGAACTCAAGTACTTTTTACATTAGCTTTTTTAAAGGGCGATTGCTTCTCACTCAAGCACATATCCTAGGTACCCAGTGTGTGGTCTCTGGCCTTGGCCATTGAGTCTGGTTAGGGATACAGATATGAACAGTATTAACCATGTTGGGAGAAGAGCCTTCCCCACTCCAGGGGATTGAAAGGAGGCCAAACCCAAAATGTACTTGTCTGGGGGTTGGAGATTAGGGTAGGCTGGACCAAGTACAGATTTACTGGGCCTAGCACAGTATGAAACATGTAGATAATTTATCCAAAAATTATTGAAAATTTCAAAAAGGCCATAGCAGAGCATGAAATAAGCCTGCAGGTCTTTTAAGTCTGTGAAGCTGGCCCTGGGGACAGGTGTGCTACTTGCTGCCACAGGGAAAAAGAAGATAATATTACAGTGAAATTTAGGAAGCACATGTACTTTAAATCATGAAGAATAATTTAGCCTTTCTAGGGTAATGTAAATTAGCCAAGATGATGGAACTCCTTGTAAATTCAGAGAGTGATAGTAAAAAGGAATTTTTTGTCTCTTAAATCCTTTACTTCATTCTTATTTAGTTATTTTTATTGTGGTAAAATATGTATAACATTTGTCATTTTAACCATTGGTAAGTGAACAATTCAGTGGCATTAAAAACATGGATAGCATTGGTCCACCATCAGCACTCTCTACACCTAAAACCTTTCCATCATCCCCAGCAAATGTTTTGTCCCCATGAGCAGCAACTTGTCCCCTTCCCTGACCCCCTGCTAACCTCTCATGTACTTCTGTCTCTATGAATTTGCCTATTCTGGGCATGGGGGTAGAATTCTTAATTACTGCACATCTTTTTCAAGGATGTCAAACCCAAAAATGTGGTCGTCTGACAGCTCTTGATTACCCTCACCTGCATGTAGATCAGATCCACGGCGGCTCTGCAGTCCATCAGCACAACGTCGAGGGATGGATCCAAGTACCTGCATAATTCAGGGTGTTAACTCCTGACAGAGCTCATGGGCATGCCTGGGAGCAAGTGTCCCTGCACTTGGAGCCTGATGGGCTCAGGGTAAAATGCAAAAAAAATAAAGGTTTAGGGGGAACGGTCTGCAGGCTCGTTCACCAAGCCCTGTGTGCCCATTCCCAGAATACCTGAATATTTGCCTGCACCCAGGCTGCCTCCATCACCTGCCTGAACCACTCCAGTAAACTTTTCACCCGGCATTCTGCCCCCATGAGCTTCCCTCCACTTTCCAGCCAGGGTGGTCTTTCCAGAGTAACCACTCCGGCTCCCACAGCCCCATTTGTCCTGCTTGCTTCCAAGGCCCTTCATGGGACCACCTCTGCTTTCATGGCCAGCTCTCTCTTAGCCTGCCCTTCCCCCACATCCTCCCTTCCAACCACGTGGAAGGTTGGAGCTCAAGTGAGGTATGACAAGGTTAAGAAAACTACTATTCCTAGATTTCAAACTGCCTTTCTTTAAAGCTGCTGAGCTCAGATTACAGAATAATTGGGCAGGGAGAGAGTTCAACAGATGAATCACACCTGCTTGTCCCTACAACAAATCCCTTCAATTAAAACAGGAATCCATTCCAAAGCGAACCCACAGCCAGCAATTCCTCCCTAACACCTGTCTAAATCCCCACCCCCAGTCCCGTTTTTTCAAGCCTTCCCTTCATGACTACCGGCCTGGTGATAATACCTCTCAAGTACTTACTTGAGACCAGTAAGAGCCATCCTCAGCATCCTATTCCTCAACAAATGGTTAGGACCAAAATGTCTGGTTAGGACAAAAATTCTCCTCTTCCCAACCCCCCATCCTCACTGCTTTTCTCTTAATCTCCCCTGGCTCCTGAACCCTCGCCAGCTGTCGGGCTATGAGTGGGACATGAGAGACCAACAAGTTCTGTTCAGTGATCATAAGAGCTCTTGAAATACCTGCCGTCACGGTAGGAAGTCACTCACCACTTTCTGAGTCCAACCTGGCAGTTTTCTACTTCAGAACTTCGAAGGCTGACATAGGGGAGTTCGAAGTCTGCCAATTTTTTCATGACTAGAGAAATGGGAAAGGAAGTCTTGCTGTTTAAAGCACAGCAAACAATCTGCAGAGACTTTAAAATGAGAAAAGAAAGCATAGCGATTGGAAAGATTAAAATCCCAATAATATTATTCTCATGCACTTGTATATAATTTTTTTAATTTCTGAAATTCATTTTTAAAAAAGCATTTGTTCCTCATGAAAGACCAGTGTTCGAGCAGGGGGTCCGACACTGGGATACAGATGAAGGATCCGTGGGTCCAGAGAGGCCAGGGCCATTGTCATTTCACTCTGCTTCAGTGGCCAACCTGACATCAAACCGCCAACTCAGAGCTCCTCCCACAGCTTCATGAGCATATATACAAAGCTCTTGGTGATGACAGACCCATTTTACAACTGAAGAACATGTACTATCTAGAGAGTCACTCTAGAGAAAGGCAAACACATGAATTGTCCATTGTTTCATTATCTTACACACTTTTTTAAAAATTCTCTAAGAACTTCTTTATAACATCCGCATTTTATAGCAAATAAACTATAACAAGAGAGACCTTGCTGTGGAGGGTCCTGATGCAGGTAGTCCAGGACTCTACTCACAGGGAACTGTGCATGGTTGGTGATCAGCAGCCAGGGTGCAAGTATAAAAGTGGGTACATGTCAAGACTGGGGCAGGGAGGTACAGTTACTGGAGAGCCCTGCTTCCTTGTTCCTGCCCATGCACATCACATCTCTAGGGTGCTCATCTGCAGTTCTCCCTGGACACAGACACACACAACATCCACCCCAGGGACTTTTGATTTGGGGGCAGAGAAAAATCGTAAGGATAACACACTGGAGAGCTGCCTCATGGGTGACACCCCCTCAGCTGTTCTCCTGCCTCTCCTGGGCAGAGTCCCTGTCCACATCTGCCCACTCCACTCCTGGCTGTCCTGTATTCCTCTTCTTACCAGAGAGCTTGCCCTCCTTGCAAAACTGAATGAGAAATAGGCCGAAGTAGTCCAGGAGCTCCCGACACAGTCCAATTTTGTGTGATACCACCTTGAATCAAAGACAAAAGAAAGAGATGGGGCAGGGGAGGGAGTCAGGGGTGTCCAGCAGCCTCACTGTGATGTGCAGAGTGTGATACTGCCTGTAAACATCAATAAATGTCTTAGACATCAAAATCAGACATTAAAAGAAATCACTTCTGAACCTTAAAATGACACATATTCATCTCAGACATTTTAGAAATTAGAAAAAAATGAAAATCGACACCCGTGGCGCTGTGTCCTATGTGAGCTGTGCATGCTTCTCCCAGCTCGTTAAGGTCTGTATTGTCCACTGGAGGGCAGCCGGCATTCTCCACTGCGTCTGCCTGTGACGTCTGCCCCTGGGTCCACACACCAGCTTCCCTTCCTGTGGGCTGGTTGATCAGACGTCGGGAAAAGGAAGGTCCCCATTGCTTGGCTGGCATATAAAAGTGACTGAGCTGCTGCCCACCTTGGACAGCCAGCCCTGCTTCTAGCTGATGTTTCCTGTGAAGGTCAATTTTAATTGACTGGGGCGTTTACTCAATGAACCCTCAGCTCACAGGCACGGCTGCCTCATATCAGACTCCTCTTTGACCTTCACATCAAATGGCTTTCATTTCCACCTCAGTGGTTTTGTTTTTACCACCAGGTCCCTGAGGCTGGAACCTCATGACACTGCGCATCCATCCCCTCCCCTCAGCAGGAACTTCCACACTACCGGGGGTTCGGCCTCTCCACCCATCCAGCCAAGCCCTCTCTAAGCCAGGGCTCCTGGGTGGTCTCTTTGCACACCGACTGAATCCGTTCCATCACTTCTGCACCACGGGTGCATTTGCCTTTCCAGCACTGTGCTGAGCTGATGCTTTAACCACGGCTCCCAGTTCTCAGGGTGGCAGCTGTACAAATACCAGGCTCAAAGGGGTACTTTTCCTGTCAGAGATCTAGAAATTACTGCATGAGGCAATCTCAAAAGGTAGCTAGTATGAGTGGGTGTTCTCAGAATAGCTTTGAGGAAAAAAATGAGTAATCTGGGAACTTTTCATGACTTTTACTCAACTTATCCCTGCTCCCCTTTCTTCCTCACGCTCTTCCCCACACTCTTGCAAAAAACCCCAAAGCCAATACACAAGGTATGTGCATGCGTGCTTGTGCTGTCAGGTAGCAGGCTCTGAAGACATCTATTTCTAGAGTAAATATGACCTACGTCCACTCAAATTAGATTTCTCTCTTTTCTGGCTCATTTAGTGCAAATGGCAAGCTTACATGGCAAAGCAGGTAGGAGAGTGGGCAAAGGAGAACAGAAAAAGCTGTTTCTAATGTCTAAGGACAAATCCAAACACCTTCATTTGAGAGGAATAAGCGTCAACAAAAAATAGAGCATTATTTTCTCTTAGTAAATGTTAAGATGTTTCAAATGACAACCATCACAGCAAAAAAAAATACATATATATATATATACTATATTAATTCAAGGGCATAGACAGGCAGAGATTCTAGTTTGTACTGGTCTTTAAAGAGCCCAGCAGAATGGAGATTAAGGCAGATGGGAGAAGCAAAGTGAGAGTGGCTGCAAGCAGGCTAGAGAAAATACAGGCAATGGTTCTTAATTATAACATTTAAATGACGTGTTCATGCGAGCAAGAGAATTTCCCAATCTGCAGGAGAGAATTCACAATTCTGTCTGAATGAGTCCTCACTTTACCTTCCCTGGAATCTATCACTTTGAGGTAGAACCTCCAGTTAGCTAGTTACCCGATGCTAAGGATGTCAGCACTATGGCTCTGAATTTTCACAAGCCAGTGTGATTGGAAAAGAGAAAGTGCACGTTTCTGGGATCACAAATATATACTATTAGTTCTTAGGAGAAATGGACAATAGATGAGATTGTTGAGACCGAGACTTACTAAGAAATGACCACAACCACTATTGATGGACCATGAGCTATTTCTACAATTATTTAGACATTTTCTGGAAAGGGGAACTTACAGAAGTGCACATAGCTACAATGTGAAAGTGCCAAAATTTGAATCCAGGACTTGCCTTAATACACATCGAGGCGATCACAAGCTCCCTCCAGCAGCCAGCTTCAGCTGCAGATCAGTCTAGCCTGACCAGCAGTCCATTGGGTGAAAAACGCGTCAATGATGATGACCTCAGGCAGGGCAAGTGCTTTCTAGTTCTCCACAACCATTTCCTAATGACCTTAAATCCTCTGGTTGTACCCCCACGTTACCTGTAAGCCCCAGAGGCATCAGGTTTGTGGCTCTCACCCTCTCTGTTACTCCTCCATCAGTGGGTCTGTTACCAATGTCTTAAATCAGGAGGGCAATTTAGGGAACTGCATTTTGTTTTGGGAGTGTTTGTTTTTTTTTTAATTTGTTTTTTGCATTAAGCACCTTCAAGCATTAAGCATCAAGGGACTTTGATGCTTTTTAGAAGGATCATTTGGGAAATCGGTACAGAAGATTAGCAAGGCTAGAAGCCAGGAGTCAAGTTTGGGAAATGTGATAGAAATCCAGCTCACAGGGGGCCTCCCGTGGTGTAGCGGATTGAGCACCATGCTGTGAAGCTGTCTGCAGCCTCAGCAGGTCAGGTTCGATCCCCACCGGTCAGTGAGAATCCCACATGGTGTGGCAGACCTCTCCTGTGGCGCCCGCTGCTCCCCTCAGCAGTGTGTTTCGGTCCTTCTGCCTGTTCTGCTCCCCGCTCTGTCTCTAGTGAATCCTCTCACCCTCCCACGCCTCTGGCCTGTACCCCAGCTCTTGTATTAAAATAAATAAATATTTAAAAAAAAGAAAAGAAATCCAGCTCAGAAATGATGACCCTGAAACAAGGGAGGTAGGGGGAGAGAAGAGAACGGGAAGATGGGTGCCTAGGAGAGGGAGTAGGGATACGGTGTCAATGTGGGGGTGAAGGAGGAAGAGGAGCCCAATGTAACTCTCAGTGGATGGTCTCAGCAACTAAGTGGCTGCCGATGCCATTCAACCTGGTCAGCAATAAACAGGAACGTAATAAAGCTTGGGGCAAGGTGTGGGCAGTCACTTTCATGGAGGAAAGGTGCATAAGAGTCATTCTTGGGTAGGGCCAAGATCTAGAGAGGGGTATTGTCTAATTCAGGGACATAAACTGCTCTTCCAGGACAAGGAGGGCACAGGCAGGTTGGTGTGTCCAGGCTGGAGAGATGAGCATGACTCAGGCAGGAAGCCGCCATGATCTCAGGTAAACGTGGGCTTCAGAACTATGAGCCCAACAGGGACCCTTTCACTTGCATCCCCCTCAGAAGGTGAAAGGTACACAATCCCCATTTTCTGTCCAGAAAGGTCCTAGAAACTTTGTCTTCCCCCTGTTGATAATTTTTTATTCTCCCTTATATATTTCCAGGGAGTATTAGAACGAAAGCCCTGTAAAGGGAAAAGGCCTGGGGCCCCACCCTCAGGAGCAGTTGTGGGTGTCCCTTCCACAGCCCAGGCAGAGGGAGGGAAGGCCAGAGAGGCAAAGCTGGTAATGGTCAAGATGAAGAAGGAGAGGATGCTTTCTGCGTCTCATCCTTGGAGTCTTCAGAGAACAACTAAAACTCAGGTCTGGATGCTGGGCCCAGTGTTAGACCTGCCTGGTTTCAGGGATCTTGGAGCCTTGGGGAAATAAGCTGTCACTATCTGCCTGCCACCAGCCACCAGGGTCTGTTCAAGGGGGCTCCACCTCCTTCCTGCTCCCAAGCAGAGCGCATCCCTTCACAAAGCAGTCTGCATATTCCCAGGGCACATCCAGGGGGGGTTGCAGGGAAATCATACAACCACAGGCTAGACCTAAGAGATCTCTGGAAAGTGGAGGACCACAAGGATAGTAAAACCTGGATGGTGCCACCATGCCCACAGAGACAACATCCAGAGCAATGACAGTCAGACACCCGCAGAAGGCAACCATCTCCTAGTTCCTGGCTTTGAAAAGAATCCTGATCTCCATTTTGGACCCTGAGTTAAGACCTAGTTTACCTCTAGAACTCTCTCAGCAGTATCTGATGTTAGAACTTCAACTTTGATGCTCTTTCCATCAGGCAGGAATATATCCAGAGAGGCTTTCTTGGTAGTGATGCTAAAGGTGTCCTGTAAGGAAAGAAAAGCACAGTAAGCTTCCACTCTCAGTGGGTTTCCTTCCTCCAGAACACAGGCCCTGAGCACCCCTCATACAACCCCAGGCCACACTTTCCTCACGCCTTCACTGCTACCCTTCCAGGGGAATTTTGGAAGGTTTTCTGGTTCCCATGCAGTCATAATAACTGACTGGGGCAAACCGCAGCAGAGCCCCCAAGATAACACACTGAAGTAAGACACAGGCAGTCAGAGGTAGGGTTTCTCTAGTACAGTTGTTATGACTAGTTCCTTACTAGGAGCTTTTCCTAGAACTTTGACTTAGGACACCTTTGCCTAGAACTTGGAATCTTCAATGTTTTTGGCCTGAACTCACAAACATCTCTAATCTCAGGGGGGAAAAAAAAAACTACCACAAAATAAATGGGAAAAACATTGCTTCTGAATAAGATTCTAATTTGTTACCTCAATGCAACTCCTACTGAAATATATAGCAGACTAGTTATCTAAATTACGTAAACAGTCAAAATGATATAAACGCTATCTCTATTAAATTCTTCTGCAAAAAGAAGGGGTGGGAGAAAGCAGATTGGATTGATAGAATGGCTGAGTTTACAGATAGCCCTGAAATCAGACACTTGAGGATTTTATTAAAAAGGCAAAGGGCAGCCATGTGTTTCTGGATCAGGGAAATGGGTGGATGAAAATGCCATTATAGGAAGGTTTCTCTGGTGATGCAGTAAAAATGGCCTAGAAGAGACACTCTAGTGTTGGGAGACATGAGCAAGGGTGTGGTAAAGTGCTCATGAGGTACATAGGGACAGGTGTGGTTAAGAAACAGAGTTCAGAGAGCAGACTGCTGGGTCCATCATGTGTGACCTGTGTAAGCCTGGTTTCCCTCTACACCTCATGTGTGACCTGTGTAAGAGGTTTCCCTCTAAACCTCACTCCTTCAGTTCTAGAAGAAAGGCAGTAATCATGCCCATCTCAGAGGCCTGTGGGGAGGGTTTAAGGTGGGTGCACACGTGGGATGTGGGACAGCCCTCACTTCAAACACAAAATCGGCTTTATAGTTTGGTTATTACTAACTGTAGGAATGGGAAGAAGTTTTCTATGTTTAATTTGACTTGGTGGGAAAAGATAAAAATAAAGGAATCAACAGAAGATTCAGGAAGATGTTTTCAACACACTCATACCTAATCAAGTTCTGAGTCCTGCATATTTAACCTGTCAAACTATCTCCAGAATCTACCTACCTCTCTATTTCCAATTCGAGCATCTCAGACCCAACTGGAATCCCTCTCCTTACCAGTCTCCTTGCTTCCCTTCTCCCCACTCCCACTGAAACCCTGCAAAGCAGCAATCAGAAATAAATTTTAAATGCACACCTAAAAATGTCCTTCTCTTGCTTGAAACCCTCTAAGGCCCTTACATTGCTCATGAGGTGCTTAAGGGAATTCTCCAAACAATCTTCTGATTGATCATTTAGACCTTCCCTCCTATAACCTGATACCAGGATGCAAATATTTCAGTCACTACAAAGAGATAACCTCCCCACCCCCAATTCTATTAGTAATTAGTAGACTCAGAAGTTATGAGATGATTCTGTTAGAATCCTTCTTAACACTGTTTTATTTTAGAATTGAGAGTAGATTTCTTTACAACTATGAGATAATTTACTTTGTTTAAAAAAATAAATATTTTTAGGATATGGTAGGGGAAAAATCAGGGACTTGAAAAATCTCCATGAGATAAAACCAGCACACAACAGAAAAAACATTCTAGGTTTAGAGTGGTGATCAAGGAGGCACTGGGCTCTATTTTTGACACTTAAATCACAGTAGAATGTAAATAATTAACAAAATGTAAAAGCAATATAAAAACATTAGAGGATTAGAAGAAAAAAATACAGAAAAGCATTGGAAATACAATTGGTACGGGGTGAAGGGTGGGGTGGGATGTCAACTTGGTAGCGTTGGAGTATAGAAAAATAAAACCTTAAGTAAGCTGTCACCTTGATCTAGGGCAGACCAGGAATCACAACACACAATTCATACCAGAAATGAAATGCACTTATCTTTAAAAAACTTCTAAATTCTCCAATAGCATGAGCTGCCTTAACACATTTTAAAATACGTGTTAATTCTGTTTAAGTTAAATTTAACAACCTGAGAAATTCTTTAATTTCTCCAGGAAGATCAATCAGAGTGCTTTATTGATATTCTGCTCTGAAGCAGAGGCAAAGCTGACAGCCACTGGTTGCTGATTACTGAGGTTTCTTTGTCAAGAAAATCCATACTTGGACCCATCGAGCTCAAATCCCCATCACAGTTAAGAAGAGGTCCTGATCAGTTCTCTACAAGGAAATGGTATCACTTCCCAGAGACCCACATGTGGCTCTAAGTTGCCTCTATGCCCCCTACCCCACGCAGGTTCACAAAAGCCACTCAAAATACCTTTTCAGTTATCTTTTTCTCACATTCTCATGAGGACCTAGGACACTCCCACTGAATAGCCAGGAACATAAAATGGTCTCTAGTCCAAAGATATTTGTTTTACCTCTTCAAAAATTCCTTCATAGCAAAGGTAATCACAGGGCAAAAGTCTAGATCATAATAAATCAAGGGGGTCTAGACACACAAAACAAGGGGGGACTGGTGGGCGACAGGGCTGAGTGGGTTACCAGAACCACAGCACCCATGGTATAGAGGCTCTGGACCCAGGGTGCCTGGATTGGGACCCAGCTCTTCTGCATTCCAGCTACATAAACTTAAACAAGCTAATTAATCTGAGAAAAAGGATACTACTAGCATCTCCTCTAGCAAGTTGTAAAGAGTAGATGAGATTCTTCAGGTAAAGCAGCAGGCGCAGCACAGATGAAATGCCCAGTTGGAGGGAACTCCCTCTTGTTACTGCAACTTGCCTACACTTTCCCTTGATAGAGGCTTTCCTCCAAAGGGGTCCTGGAAGGCCCCATGCACTCATGCATCTAACACTGTATGTTCTTGCCCAGAGACAGGGATATATTCTTGTACCACTTGAGTGCTGGGGAGCCAGGACTGTGCACATGTGATTATTTGGCAATAACAACTTAGAAACTGCAGGCCAAGTGCTTATGAGTGGCAGTGAAAATATCCAGGTGGGGACTGTACAATACTGAGTCATAGACACGGCCTAGTCCCTGTCCCTAGGGCTCCCTGTGGGTTCTGGAGAATCCACACATCACTGCTGCTGCCCGGGCCCCACCAGCCCTCCAGAAGCTATCTTGCTGTAAGCTCGGTCAGCCGATTCTCTCCTATACTGACTGTGCCCGTTTATTGCCAAAAAATCACTCTGGAAGGCAGCAGACATCTAGAAGGTGGTGGATGGAAGCATCACTGGCAGTTGGAGTAGACTCGCCCCCGGTAAAAAGTAGTTACCACTTCCCTTTCACTAATATCAGTCCTGAGTATCCCAGATTCCATGCATTATGTGGTTTGTTGTTTTTCTCCCTCAGTGGGAAGGAAAAGCCAATGTATAATCGTCCCTCCCTATCCACCCTGAAAAATTTCAAATATCATCTAGATGCCACTTCATGTAGAAGGTGCGTAGACCGAGGACCCTCTACCACGGCCTTCAGACACACACTCTTTATGTGGCACTCCCTCCCTTTCTCACCAGGTCACACAGAGAAAATGGTAATATTTAACTGCACACTGGGCAGGTGGGCCCAGATGCATCATCTTTGTAAAACCCAATCTCAGAGAGGAAAGGGACTGGCCTCCATCTATCACAGCGATAAATGTTTCAATAAATGCCGTGGACCACATGACACTGAAGTGCTTTAAAAGCAATGCCTCGTTTAACCCTCAAAACCGTACTGTGGGGCAGGAGCTACTCTCTCCATTTTACAGATGGGGAAAGTGAGACTCAAAGAGGCTAACATTGACTGAAGCCATGCAGCTTGAGAGTGGAACAGCCAGTCTTGTTGCCTGGTCTTCTCCTTGCCAGAGCTGCCTTGTAATTGCTAAACCAGGCCAGAGGCTATTGATCTCACAGGGGTGTAAAGTGCTAGATCGCAGCCAGGGGATCTGTGGCTTATGGCTTCACTGCAAACACACTGGAGGGGTCTTCAGCAGAGCACTAGTGAGAAAGTGTTGAGAAACCAGAGGCAAGATCCAGAAGCACAACGGACAGACTCGAGTGACTCAGCGCCTAGCACTATCTGCTGCTGGCTCACAAAGCACAGCCCCTTCAAAGTTGGGTGATTTGCTGCCAGGAACTGGCAAGGGACTTATGCAAAAATTCTGCAAGAAAGGAGGAAGAAATGGAAGCAATGAAGGGTGAAATGTACATACCTGAGTCATGACGCCACTAAGCAGATGAAAACAACGAATGCATTAATAAAAATATGGGTTCTCTGAACCAAGACCTCAAAGATTAGACAAAGGTGTCAAAAAAGAAGAAAGATCACAAAAACATACACGAGTAAACTGGTAAAGCTCATGAAAAAAAAAAATGGAGTGAAAAATGAAGACATTCCAAAATAAAAGATACCATCAGATGAAGCAAATGGAGACCCTGTAAGATGCCGCGGGCATAAGGCTTTTGTACAAAGTCAGGAAGGCTTTCGCATCTCAATTATAAAGAACTAAGAATATATAATAAGGAAAAAGCTTTCAAATTATTTAAAAAAAAGACACTCAAAGCTCTAAAATATTGTTACCCTATGAATTCTGTTTAAAAGGCATCAAAGACAAAAACTACAATGAGCCCAAAAAGGTGACAGGACAAAGGCCAAAAGTAGCTCTGTAAGTACTGATAAGGAATGATTAGCAAGAAGTCAGGCTGGGAAAAAAAAAAGCAGGGTCAGGAAATGGGTAGAACATGTGCTTATTTGTAAGACACAAAGGAAAGGCAGGCATGTGAACACTTACATATGCACAGAACTGTGTAGAAAACTATAACTATTTGGACACAAGTGTGTGGTTTCTGAGGAGGGGGACTGGAGGTCAGTGGTGGGAGCAGAACTTACTTTTATCATAGACATACAAACATTTTTGTTGTTTGAATGTTACTACCATTACCATCTCCACAACAAACGTCTCAAAGAAAGTATAGATGTATACACCACCAAGTGAACATGTGACTGTCCCCCCAGTGGCAGACTAGGATCATTTCTTAGATTGACTGAACCGGTGTGTATATGAACACAAATGAACCAATGAATCAATGCAATTTGTTTGCCTCCCCCCGCTTTCATAAAAATCTGATTAAAGTATTACTCCCCAAACTAGGGATTCAGTTCAGTAACAACATAATCTTTCGCAACTTGAGTCCTTTCAAAGCTTTTCCATTCAGTCAAGAACATACAAGCATGAAAATGTTCACACATGTACAACTAGCATGGTGATGAGCTAAATACCACTTAGCAAAGTTCTAGCCTCTAAGGGACAAAGGTCACAGCTCTTATAGCCAACACAGGGAAGGGAGTTGCTGTATGTCATTCTGTTCACACTAAATTTTCTCCCTGATCCATTTACAACAAAGTTGATAATCTACAAGTAATAGCAGGCATACTATTCCTGCAATCCTGATGTCTCAATGTGTTAGCACATCTGGAAATCCCAGCTACAGAAGTAGGGTTCTGGAATTGTCGAAGGCAGTCTTAATGATAAAAGGCTTTCTTCTTCATGGCCAGTTTTGAGTATATGACTACAGAAAAGAGGTATCAATTTCATTAAAAAAGCCAAAGGTCAACTGACACATTTAATTTTCCATCTAGAATCTAGACCTCCAAAAGGACAGAATAGAACCATCATCCAATCTATTCCAAATGAATATATTTTACCTGAGTCCAAGCTGTGTGGGGCTGAGGACCAGAAATTTACACTTGGTTAACTCAGAGACACATACTGCCATGAAATAATAACCTTAGTAAAGAAGAGCAAGCTTCTGGGAACAACCCAAGTGCCGAAGGACAGAGGAGAGGATTAGGAAGATGTGGTATATATACAGAATGGAATACTATTCAGTGATAAAAAAAGATAAACTCTTGCCATTTGCAACAACAGGGTGGAACTGGAGGGGATTATGCTAAGTAAAATAAGTCAGAAGGAGAAAGACAATTACTGGATGGTGTCACTTATATGTGGAATCCAGAAAAATAAAGCAAATGGTGAGATAAAACCAAATCAATAAGAAACCTTAAAATCTCACTGTAGAATTAAGGCCACCAGAGGGAGAGGGGGAAAGCAAAGTCAGGAGGAGGTACAATGGAAAACAGTGGCAGATTTTCAGTGCCTTGGCGGAGGGTGTGGTGTGGTAACATGCATTGAAGGGGGCCATCTTATTAGATCTAAGTCATATAAAATGTTGTGAACAATTGCTACCTGAATAAAGAAAATCAATAAATGAAATATAAAGAATAGTTACTATTTATCCTAGGATGGGAAATAATGGCCATCAAGGATATGCAAGTAAATAAAGTTTATCATCAATTGACTTTAAAAAAATAGCAAGCTTACCAGCTGTACCAGTTTTAAAAAATCAATGAAGACATCACTTCTCAACACGTTTGGGTCCATGGTGACTGAAAAACATGGACAGAGTCAGGTCAGTATGGGGCTGGGTTGATTTCTCTATTAAGTTACTGTGCCCTCCAGGCCTTGTTAGCCCATCACTGCCTCCCTGAAGGCAGTGGAGCTTGTGACCTCTCAAATACATGAAAATCCACAAAGCTAGCCTCCTCCAAGCAGTCTCAATGACATGAAGCCATCTCATGTCAATACTAAGTGATTGTGTCCAGGAATCTTGCTTCACCCACATATACCATGTTGCTCAAATCACCTTGCTTCCCAGACAGGATTGTGATGAAGTTAACATGAAGAAATGAAAAGATCTTATAACTTAAACTCCCATTTTGGCAAGACACTTGGTCATTTGAAAACTTAAATCATCCCAGAAACATTGATTTGAGGATACCTCTTTTAACGATGGAGTTCCCAGGAGGAATTAAAAAGAAGGATGACAAGACTGTGAAAGAGTATAAAGCATTTCATTCATACTTACAGAGTATGTTTTTTTCTTCCTCAGCATTAAAGCTCTAGATATCCACACCCAAGTGCTATGGCCAAATCAGATAGGCAGACAGTTGGCCCTGAGAACTCGAAACTCAGGGCCTAAAAACTGAAGCACTTCCCAGCTATGCCTGCCTTTCTGGTCTTCCTGCCCACTAATTCTCCACTGGGCCCTGCACATTAGCTGAACTGTATACTTACTAAACCTGCATTAACTTTCTTTTTTCTTTCCATTGCTGTTTTACTGATTTCATCAAGTAACTTCTACTAGTACTCAATACAAATATTCACTAAGGTCATGTCAGGTTGTACCTTTCCTAAAACTGTCGTGTTTTTCCAAATAAAGTAATGAAGCATCTCTGTAACATGAGGAACTTTTTTTTCATAAAAGGCATCCTCTCTTTTCTGAGGAGATAATTTCAGAGGGAAAAATCTCTTGTCTTATATTTCTGGAATATTTGGTACATAACTTCATGATAGCATGGATTCTTGGGGGATGATGGGGAAAGCTTCTGAAAAGTGTTCACTCAACTAGCATCTACTGAATAGAATGACAGCTAAGTACCAGGCACTATACTAAGCACTTTGTATATTTTAACTCATTTAACCTCCACAGCAAAACCTAAGGTAAATATAATCTCCAGCTGAAGACACTAAAGAAGGAAAAGAGACAGGATCAGAGGAGGTAAGTGCGTTACCCAAGGTCACACAGCTAGTGAGGTGTAAACCTGGGATTTGACCCAGTTTAGGCTCTAGAGCTTGTGTTCTTTGTCACAACACCAATCTGTGCAGTGTCTTGCTTTATCTTGCCAAAGAGGATGCATAAGACATTCTGCATAAGACAAATGCATGACATTCTCATGACGTGACCAAAGACCAGGCCTGGAAAAGCAACCCCATAAGCACTATGATTGCTTGTGAAAAGGCCAGTTGTTAAAAAGAATATTTTGTTAAGATGTGAGAAAACAAGCCAAGAGAAAATACAGATTCAAAAGACAGTACATTTTGAGATTGAAAATTCTTTTTGCACAGGTCTAAGAAGAGGTTTATGCTCATTACAAAAGAAGAATAGGGAATAGATGACTTCTAGAATTTTTATTTTCTGGTTTTTAAAAAAAATAGGCCACCATGAAAAATGAGGTAAATCAAATGAGGTAAATTGCTGATCTAGAATCACCTAAAAGGTATATAAATAGGAAAAAAATCAACATAGAAGATAAAACATTTTTTTCTTTTGCAGTGAGGAACATCAACAGGGATAATTGGTAAACTTTGAATAAGGTCTCTGGATATTGTACCACTGTCAATTATCTGATTTTGATAACTATACTATGGTTATATAAGAAACTGTACTTGATCTATATAGGAAACACACACAGGTGCATTTAAGGGTGAAGTGACTTATACATGTAACACAAGCATTTATATATATATAATTGTATATATATATATGATATGTATATCATATGTCCCAAAAGTCCATTATAACACACATTCATAACACACATTCATAACACATAGATGCACAATAGTGGGAAAAAATAATAAAACAAATGTAAAATGTTGACATTGGGGAATCAAAGTAAAACACATAGACATTGCATTATTTATGCAAATTTTCTGTATATCAGAAATTCTTTCAAAATAAAAAGTTTTAATAATCAGACACAGAAGAGTAAAGTAAGTGTCCATTTGTGTTCAACAGGGGTGTACATACACAATAGCAGACACACTGATAATTTCTGAAGACTACACAAGCTGCTTCAGAAAAACAATTACCTAGGTCAATGAAAAATTTTCTCCAAAAAAACCCAAAACAAGACTGATGTTGGTGATGCACATGGTGTGCCTATTTGTATAAACCCAGCAAATATACTGGAAACCACTGATTTGTAAGCCTAAATGGGTGAATTTTACCTGTGTAATCTATACTTCAAGAAATCTATAAAAAATCCAGTCCATACCATTTTGCAAATACTGTTCCAGCCGCTCCCTCCTCTCATCAGCCATAGATGTAGTCATTGCTAGATAGTACTTTGGTGGGAAGGGTGGCAGGCCATTTCCAAAGACCCGCTTCAGCTGAAAGAGTAAGCAGACACACAGTTAAGGCAAAAAATCCCTCCAGTTCAAGGTGGATGAGATACCAAAACTTCCTCTAGGGCAAGTCCCCTTCCAGCATGTTATTTAATATGAATCCTTCCTGGTGGCCAAAAGGAGATGAGGATACTTTTGAGTTTTCTTATGGAGGAACTCACTGCAGTCTGTTTCTAGAGATACCATTAGATACAGACAAAGTCACAATTCCAGTCTAGTTTGGTAGATCTGAGGGACATTTTTCATTTTTCATTTGTTTTTACAAGACTTCGTGCCACTCACATCAGACAATATTTTTTTAATTTCCCATAGCATCTATGGTATCAGCGATGACAGGAATTTATTCCTCAACCCTGGCCCACCCCCAAGTCATTTGAACCTACCAGCAGAAGTGAACAGCTAGGCTACTTAATACATTAGCTACCAGCCACCAAACTAGCACTGGAAGTGAGACCAGAACAATCTGAGCAGTGACATACAGTATTGAGCTATAACCCAAAGGAAGAAGTAAATCTAGGCATCTATACATGTATGAAAAAACAGGAGAGAATGGCTAAATCTCCCATGCAAAAGAATCCCAAGTGACAAATATAAGTACTGTAATGGCAGAAAGGGCACAGAGCAGGATCTCTACAATCCTCTGCAGATGGATAAAGGAAATTCCTGGAGCCCTCGGTTGCTTTTCAGGCCTCTAGTGGGATTTTACCAGGTACACAGCAGGCAGGGGTGCTGGGGGGCCGGGAGGCTGGCAGGCCTCTTTCTTCCTTTTCTGGTTCTCTCCTCCTGGTTCTGTTCCGTGATGCTGCCCTTAAAAGCCCAGTCTCGCTGAGCATATTTCGCTGAGCGAAATAAGCCAGAAAGAAAAAGAAAAATACTGGATGGTCTCACTCATAGCAGGAATCTGGAAAACTTAAATAAGGGACCAGGAAAATGAATAACTATAAGAAAGTGAAAATCAAAATCAACAAAAAACTATGAACCAGAGACACTTTTTGGGGGGGGGGGCGGGAGGGGAGGGATTGGGTCAGAATGGGGGGTTGCAATTGTATGGGGAATATAAAAATAAAATTTATTATTTAAAAAAAAAAAAAAGCCCAGTCTCAGCCCAGGTGCCCACCTATGTATGCCCACACCCTATTCCAGGTGTCCACCAGCAGGCATGCATTCAGGACTGCAGGGATCCATCATCAATGTTAATGGTGGGAGGGCAGTAAAGCCTGACAAACATTTACCCTACAAGTACGCATCACTCGTGCCAGGAGATGAGCATAAACCCCATTCTTTAAGCATCAACTGCAACTAACGACCTGACAAACAAGACCTCAGCCAGGTCATCAAGGTGAAAAGTCACACTGATGGCATGTGATTAAATGGCACTTGACCTCAGGTCTTCCTCCCCAAAATCCATAACCCCAGTCTGATCATGTGAAAAACATCAGATTTATTGAACAGTACTCTCAAAACAGTCAAAATCATTTAGAACAAGGAAAATTCTGGGATGGTCAAGAAGAGCCTGAGGAGATGTAACAACCAAGTGTGATATGGGATCCTGGATGGGATCCTGGAATAGAAATTAGGTAAACATTCAAGAAGTCTGAATAAGGTATGGACTATAGCTAATAACACCACTTCATTAGCAACTACAGCAATCCTGCTTCATTAACAGTAGTAGATCCACCACATTAAAGGAAAACAACAGAGGAAATTGGGTGCAGCTCATTTTTTAGTGCAGGGTCCTATTGTCAAATAGGACAAAGAGCTCTTTGCAATTTTTCTGTAAATGTAAAATTGGTCTCCAAAAATAAAGGTTTTTCTTTAAAAAGCTGATGTTCTTACTTCTCTTGAAAAATGAGTCTAGAGTCCCCTTCAGAGACCTAAGAGGTTCCCATCACTCCCCACTGCTTCTCACCTGATCCACAACTGCCACCAGTTATCTGCCTGATCCCTTTAGCCATTTAAGTTTGCAACCTTTCCTCTAAATCTGGTAGCATAAACAATTACAGCAATAATTCTGTTTCTTTTAAATGCAAGGAAATGTTTGTGCCTTGCCAGAGACTGTCAAAGGCACCCCAGCTGCAGCATCATCCCAGACAGGCAACTCAAACAGTGAGGATTTATGTCCCCATCTCTACTTACTCTATTAAATAGAAGAGATTTGTCTTCTCCACATGCAATTATTTCTTGATTAACTGATTAAGTGATCTTTAAAAAGCAATTCTCTTCTTTGGCATATGTTCATAAACCTCACAGATGCTCCCGAATTGGTTTTAATCACAGAAAGGCTGGCCGGATTATCCACCTGCAGGACAGCATCTTTGGGAAGTCCCTACCTAAGGCCAATGATCTGGGGGAGAAAGTAAACAAGGATGAAGGTTCTAATACCAATCACAGAGCAAAAACTCTCCCAGCAGGTTTTACAACCTTAGCTGATGTCTCAAGGAATCTTTCTCCTCCTTCGCTAATGCTGGTGAAAGGGAGAGGACAAACATAAAATGAGTAGTTAAATGTGCCAAAAGTCAATCATCAACTCTGCAAGTTCATCTACTTTATCAAAAGAGAGACCTTTTTTACTGGTCTCAGGACATATTTTAGCTATTCATACCTCTCATATACTGAGAATTACTTGGTTTTAGAGTTTAAGCTCCATCATTCTTTCAAGAAACTGAAGAAATCAAAAGGAAAATACATCTCTTCTATTTTTGTGAGTTTTTTTTTTTTTGGGGGGGGGCACATGGAAAGGCCATCTCTAGGTGTCTCTAAGACCAAACTCCAGCAAGGGAAATTTGGCTTGCCCACACCAACAGCAATGACAGACTTTAGCAGGGTATCCAAGAATTCAACTCAATTCTGACATTTATGTGGAGTCAGATTCCACAGGTAAAACACTCAGCCTCCTAAGACCACCCTCCACTTCATACAAAGGCTGTTAAAACCTGAACACATCAACTGGAGCATAAAGTAACTGCTTAGTTGTTACTGTTTTGAGTTAATAATAAAGGCCAACAATCACTTAAGATGTAAACAATTTCTTTAAAATAAAGTTGTTTCTACCAATAGAGCAGAAAGGGCTTATACTAAGTGAAATAAGTCAGAAGGAGAAAGATAAATACCGGATGGTGTCCCTCAGATGTGGAATATAGAAAAATAAAACAAAGGGTCAGACAAATCCAAACTTGAAAACCAAGCCTTGAAAACTGACCATTGATCTTAGGCTTTCGGGGGGGTGGGGTAGGAGTGAAAACAGAGGGATGAAGGGGAAGGATGGACTGTGACGGAGGACTACAGGTGGTGGGAGGGCTATGGTGACTATACCTGGGGTCAGGGAATCCTATAGTACCAAAAAACTAAGAAGGATGTAAAACAACCGTACTTCAATAACAATTTAAAAAAATTAACAACTAAAAAAATTGTTTTGAAAAGCAAAGCATGACATACTAAAAGAAAAACGAAGTTGTTCCTACAAAAAGGGAATATATTGATAAGTGCAGAATGTAAAGTAGTTTGAAACTAGATAAATCTCCACTTTAGGATTTTGAAAAACCTGGGACAAATATGAAAATATATAGTCATTAATATGTATTTTATGCCCTGCAGAGGGCACTGGGCTGTGGCAATTCAATATCTAAGGGTCCACAGCAGTGAAGAATAGTTTTTGTCTAAAATAGAAGATCAAGAATAAGTTTTTTTCCTTTATGTCTCTACTTCGGGTTTTGCTAGATGAGTTTGTTTGAAAACAGGCATTTTTCTGAGTCTGCTGGTTAAGGAGGGCCAGGAATCCTTCAAAGGACTGAGTCAGTTAGTGTTTACTGAGCATGTACTATGTGCCAAGCTCTGTGAAAAACTGACCCCCTAGTCTTCACATGTACCCTCTGAAGCTGACATCCATAATCACCTATTTGCTTATTATTTCTGATAAGAAAATTGGATGTCAAAGAAGAGGTGGAATGAACAGCCAGGAAGTTGTCAATTTCCTGTTCTCCCTGCTCCTCACCTCTATTTCCTTCTCTTCACTCCATGGTGGCTGCCTCCCCAATTGCATCACAGGAAGACTGATGCCAAAAACACCTTTACTTTCTCTCCTTGGAGATGCCCACCCACATACCTCTGTGGTCCTCCCAACTCCCCAAACTATTTGTCAGAAGTAGTAACTCATCTTTCAGAAGTTAGAAACCATGTGCTTTCTCATTCAGTCCTCTGCAAGGATACCTGAGAACCTACCAGGGCTCAGGCATTGTACCCTGTTTGCAATTCAAAGACAGCCACACAAATTAACTAACACATTGTTGACACCAAAGACACAAATCATACCTTGAAAACGGACTTTTCCAACGCACTATAGTGTGGGAGCAAGAAGACTTGCTTCAGTGATCCTTTCAATAGTGGAAGAATGAAACAGCTGTCCATTAACAGAAGATGGTTCAAGGAAGGTGGGGAATATTCACTTGAACCAGAGATTGTCTGAAAGGATTCTCCCAGAGGTGTTAATAGCTGTTGCCTGGGCAAGTTCTCTCTTTCCCTCTCTCTCCCTCCTTTATGCACAGACTTTTTATAGGACCAATTCTTAAAAAACAAAGAAAGAAACAAAAAGCTGCACAGGGATGGGGGGTGATGAGGTTTATTTCAAAATTTCATTTACTCCTTGTAGGGTAAGGAAAAATGTCAGGCTTTTCTGCCCTCCCGCCATCAGGATAGATGATGGATCCTTGAGGTCCTGAATGCATGCCTGATGGCGGGCACCTGGTGTAGGGTGTGTGCGCATAGGTAGATGAGATCCACCTGGGCTAAGACTGTACTTTTAAGGGCTGCGTCCCGGGGACACCAGTAGAAGCCAAGAAGCCAAGAGAGAAGCAAAGAAGCAGAAGCAGAGAATGCCAGAGAGCCCAGAGAGAGTGTGGATTTGCTGGGGGCTGGGAGGCCTGCCAGCCTCCCGGCCCCCCAGCACCCCTGCCTGCCATGTACCTGATAATCCCAATAAAAACCTGCAAAAACCACTGAGGCTTCTGACTCCTCCTTTACCCGGTCTGCATGGGATCAGTAAACCTGCACTGTGTCCATTCCTGACCCTTACACTCCTCTAACCCATTTCGAAGACTTGCAAAACATCCTTAGCAGTAAAATAAAACCCATTAGAGTAGGCTAATAAATCAGTCTGCCTCTTGGGGAAAAAATGCCAGCAGCACATCAGAGTGAGAAACCACAGGGCAATAGCCTCTGTCTTGACAGGTCATCTGTTTCCTGGGTTCTCAGGCTGCCAGGACTTGAAGTCTATGAATGAGGTCGGTGGCTTGAAAACAAAACTAGAGACACACCTTCTCAAAGGGTACCTAGGTAAGCTGAAGAAGCTCTAGAGAGAAAGGAGCTTTAAAAAAATACCCATGTGCAAGATTCCTAGAGTCCACCGTGGTCTAGATTGCACATTTGAATGGAGACACTGTTCCGGGAACAGCTAGCACTGACCCGGGGGCTACCACAGCCCTGCACCGTGCCAGGTGCTACTGGGGGATCACCACTCTGGATAGGGATTGGGAGAATCACGGACGCTCGCGTCTGCTACTCACAGCTGTAGAAGATTACGAACAGCAACAAACATTGATTGAGCGGAGGCCCAGCCGCTCAGTTAACCTTAGCAAGGCCGGGCTGCACAGGTTAGGCGCCTGCAGCCCTCAAAAGTCCCGGCGTCTCGCTAGAGTCGCTCGCCCGGAGCCCACTGGACGCCTCGCACCCACTTACCTGTTCGTTCCAACGGTGCAGCTGGCTGTAGCGCACCCTGCAGAAGAGGAGCCCGTCCAGATACACCGAGTACAGCTGCAAACACACAAGCGTCCCGGATCAGCGGAGCGCAGGTGAGCCGCGTCCCTGCGCGTCCGCGGTCCCCCTCCCGCCGTCTCCGGCCCCGGCCCCGCGCACCACGTAGCGGCCCCCCAGCGCGTCGGGGCGCGGCTGGGACACCGGGATGCAGAAGTGCGTCTTCATGGCTCCGGCGGCTGCAAGATTTTCCAACGCCCTTTAATGTGGGAGCGAGGCACCGGGGCTAGCTCGGGCACCGGGGTGTGGGCGCAGGCACCGGGGCTGGCTCGGGACTCCCGGGAGCTTGCCCTGGGACGGCCGCAGCGGCGTGGGCCGCGAGTTCGAGCTCCGCTGGCCACCCGATGCCCGACCCGCGGCGCTGGCGCCGTCCGCCGGTTCCCGCTCCGCAAGCACCCCGGGGCCCGCCGCGGCCGCGCGCTCCAGGGCTTTGAGGCCCGGGCAGTGGGCGCAGCTAGGCTGGCCACGCCGCCCCGGGCGGGGCCCGGCTCTCGCACGCCCTTGCCGAGGGCGGGGACCCGAGACCCGAGACCCGGTCGCGCAGCCCCGGGCGGTCACCCCGCGGCGGTGCTCTGACCCCGGGGCGGGCCGGGGCGGGGCGCGGCGGCGGGTAAGGACCCCGCCAGCAGCCAGCCTGCGCGAGGCTGTGCGCTGGAGGAGGAATTCAGGATAAAAAGAACCCCAGAGAGAGACAGAGACCCAGAGGATCCTTGTGGTCAAAAATGGCGGGGCGGGGAGAGGGGAGATGAGATGAAAGTGTCCTGGGAGAAGGTCTGGGTTTCCATCAGATTTTCTAGGCGGTCCTTGAACCTACAAAAGTTAAGAGTCGTTGCTCGAGGTGCGTAGAGGTCCATACACTTGCCAAAGGTGTCATCAGCGACTCCCCACCTGCCCCACGATCTCAGGGTCAGGCTACTTGGAGATGGAGCGGGGGAGTGATGGGGGCGTGGGGTTTCGCACAGCAGAGGAGAAACCAGCCTTTTCCAGGCGTCCACTCCTGGTCCACATTGGGCCCTGTGCCTTCCAGTGGCTCTTCATGAGGAGAGAGGGCGCAGTCAGACCCACCCTCAGACAGGGTTGAAAAAAGTTTTCTCTCCCTTTCCTGAGGACACTGCCTGCAGTGTACTATGAATTAAAATTTTACGAAAATATATAAATCTAGTAACTATCATATGACAAGACAGTTCAGCTTTGTGTTAACAGTCATTAAGTGCAAAACTTAAGGTATGCGGGGCCTCCCGGGTGGCGCAGCAGCTGAGCGCTTGGTTGCGAAGCTGCCCGCAGCCTCTGCAGCGCCGGTTTGATCCCCGGCTGCTCCCCGGCCACCAGAGGAGGGTCCCACGTGGCGCACAGACCTCCCCTGCCGCCCGCTGCTCCCCTCAGCAGTGTACTTCGGTCCTTCTGTCTGCTCCTTCTGTCTGCTCTGCTCCCCGCTCTGGCTCTGGTGAATTCTCTCACCCTCCAGTGCTTCTGACTGTACCTAGTGCTTGTATAAATAAACAAATCTTTAAAAAAAATGAAAAAATGTTTAAAAAAAAACCTTAAGGTATGCCATGTTCATAGCTGCTTTAGTGTTTTTTTCTAAATTCTAAAGTTTTTTAAATATACCTTTTCCTTAAGGTGTCAAAATTTTTTTTCATGACTGCACCAGAAATTTCAATGTGAGTGACCTGGGCCTCTCTTGCTCCCCCAAGAAGCCTTGGTTTCAAATAGGTGCCAGTGGCCAGGTAGTTGAGTTCATATAAACTTTGTTCTCAGCACAAACCATCCCAAGTACTTTCAACAGTGGTTTTTTAGTAGCTGTGTAAAGTAAGCCTAATTCTCCTATTCTAGTTAAGACGGGATAGAATCCTTTCACAGTGCCATGGCCGCTGTGGTAAAGGCAAGGAGAAGCCACATATGTGCCTATTCTAAGGCTGGCCTTCAAGTGACTCCATGCTTCCTCCCATAATGCTTCCAATTCTTAAATATTAAAAGCAACATCCTACCAATGACAGGACAGGCCTAGAGTGTAGAGTAACTTTTCTAAGGCCACAGGTCATCTTTCTCATAAATCTGAGTAGTGTATTCTAGGATTTAATTGGAGTAATTGAAAATCCTTTAAAGGCATCACTGAGGAAAGAGTTGAGTATGTAAAATGGGAATCGGAGACTTTGGGGAGGGGAACCAGCATTGCTGAATGCTCCCTGTTTCCTGTGTGCTTACTGTGTGCGAGGCCCTGATGTACACTACGTTACTGAATTTTTCCAGTGACCTTCAGCTAGATCTGATTGTTGAGAAAAGGAATTAGATCTGTGAAGTTAGGGAGGCAGGATGATATAGTGGCAAGAGAAAGGCAACAGGAACTCATATCCCAGTTGAGGGGCATCTGGTGGAAGGACACTATGCTCTTAAACTTGATGCTCTGTGAAATTGTGATAACTATACTCACTTCCGGGGGGCTCCATTCCAGAGGAGATGGGACCTTAGGTTTTCACCCTGCTTGTGGGCCATGATCTGCATGGCTACCTCACACCAAGACCAGGGCTGTCCCTAAGTGTCTCCAGTGTCCCCAGGAACAGAGGTTGATTAGGCAGGCTCTAGGATCTAGTGCAGTCTTGTATGACTGTACTTGTAAGGCATCAAAGTGGATTATTCTGGTCAGGTCCATCCTCCTGGGGAATTTCACCTGTGAATACCCTGGTCCCTGGCTCTGCCCGATAGTAATATTCAAATAGGGACACTTCCTTCTTTTCACTAATGTTTGCCCTGAAGCTAAACAGGAGTAGGACCAGCCTCTGTCTCTGTTCACCATCCCCCACCTCTGCTCCTGCCAGGTTTTTTCTCTGATGTTACTATGAGGCTTGCATAGAATATCCTGACAGCAGCTGGTTGGTAGCATGCTTAAGAAGGGGCTGCCACAATATTCGCCTTTGCCCAACCCTGCCTTTGGCTTCATACAGAGTGTTCTAATTGAGAGCAGGGCTGGTATTCTCTGACAGGATGTTTTTTTCCTAAAAGTCTAAGGAAAACAAGGCACACTGCCCAGGGATCTTCCAAACCAAGCACCTTTCCAACAGGTGAGAGACTACCATGGAATTTTGACATCTTAAGGCCCCCTACCTGAGCCTTGCCCCCAATCTTGTAAGTTCAGTAATAACTGCTTTTATCTTTAAATATGAGCATACATTAGCCACCACCTGTGATCCATTACTACTAGGAAAACACTTAACCCCCCATGATATTGGTTTAGGTTGAAGCAACACTTCTCAGCCTTCACTGCATGAGGGAGTCATCTAGGGAGATTTTTAAAGCACAACCGGTGCCAGGTCCCACCTTCATGGATCCTGATTTAATTGGTTTGGGGTTCAGCCTGCTCATTAGGTTTTCAGACACCCCAGGTGTGAAAGCTACTGAAAAGTGAATAAAGTCCATCATGGTGAGAAACACTTACAGCTCTTAGAAGGCTGAGATTTTTGGCTCCAGCTTGCTCAGTAAGAAATGAGGTCTAGTCTTGGAAAAATGCCTCCCACAAAAGCTGCATTAAGATCGTCATACAAACAGCTTGCTGAAACAAAACTGAAGTCTGAAACACCACTTGGGGGCTTTAGTCAAGTCTTTCATCTATTTGTAGAATGATCTGTTTTCACGTGCTGTTAGGAAACAGTGGCAGAGCCATGACTGGCTAATCAAAAGCTGAGCAGAGGTGTTGACCAGTAATAAAAGTAGTTAAATGGAGTGGGGACTTAGTAAACACTGGGCACTACTGTGAACACTTTGCAGTATTAATTCACTGACTCCTCATAAGAACCCTATGAAGTACCTACAAACTGTGCCTATTTTACTAATAAGGAAACTGGGATGCAAGGTTGCACAACTGGTAATTCCATAGCCAGAAAAGGAAATTCAGTGCAATGTAGGAAAAAAAGGACACTAAGGACTTCATGAGACAATAGGGCAGTGGTGGGGCCTGGCCAGAGTGGACTTTGTGTGAGTGCATGGGAGGTGCTTCTGGGAAACCACCATACTTGTTAAGAGGTTTTTTTGTAGTGGGTTCAGATCTTGGTTGAGCAAGCAAAGCCATGAACCACTGGCAGCTGTTTCATCGTTCTTGGCAGAAACTGCACTGGCCCCACTGGCTAATAGGCTTGGGGGAATTCAGGTTATAATACAATTTGTTTCATGCTAATTCAAAAAGAATTTAGGTTCATGTATAAATTACAGAGCAAGATTTAATGTTTAAAGAATTGTAGGGTAAATGAATTAATCAGGCTTTTTACACCACTAGCTTCTGTGGCTATCACCTGGAGCCTTGATGGTATTGATGCAGAAGGTGGTACTTGGGAGTGTGAGTGTGGGGTATGCGTGCCTGATTGTGGACACCTGGAGTATGGTGTGGCTATGCATAAGTGTGCACATCTGAGCCTAGGGCTGTTAAGGTGGCGTCTCTGAGTTGACAGCTACAAAAGGATGAGCTGTGTGACCACGGACGAGGTGAGACCATGAGAGAATGCCAGAGAAATAGAGTGTAAAGATTTGGGGGTTGGGAGAGGGTGAGGCCTTCAAGTTGCAGTCTCCCTACTGGCTTGTTTCCCCTGCTAACTGTTAAAACCTGTGAGGATGATGCCAAGGGCTCCTAAATTCTCTCATACTGTTAGAACCGATGGTGAACCTACCAGGCCTGGGGTGATTGCACAAGAATATAGGAGACTTTTCATTTGGATGTCAAGGGGCAAAGCAGAACCTTCCTGAAACTACCCTGTACACACTGCCTGAGCCAGCAGATTGTATGGAGACATGAGGGCATTTTAATTTTTCAGTTTGTTTACAACTGATCACTATCTTTATTGCCTAGAGATAACACAGGTGTACCTTGCTTTTCTGAACAAAGGTAGCAATTCCATACCAGAAATACTTTGGTTTTGGGTTTCCCTTTTAAGTTTTCTTTCTGTAAAAGCCATATTCACAACATTCATTCATTGTGAAAAATACAGAAAAGCCACAAGGAGAAAAGTAAAAAGTGTCTCGAACCCCAACACTGAAAGGAACTGTTAATATTTTGGTTTTATACCATTTGCCATGCTTTTGGTACAAATTCAGTTTTTACCTTTCTAGTTCAATAGGTTTATAAACTCCCTCTCCCCCTGCACCCCAATGAGATCTTCTCAATATATACTGTTTCCTGCAAATATCTCTAAGGGTTTGCTATCGAGAGTGATGCTCCACCAACTCAGAAGCAGGTTCTTATTCATCAAGTGG